GCCCCCCCGCCCCGCCCCCCCCCCCCCCCCCCCCCCCCCCCCCCCCCCCCCCCCCCCCCCGCGGGGCGCCGGCCGCGGGCCGGGCCCTGAGCCGGGCACGGAGAGTAAGAGACTGTGCACATTATTGGCCCCCCATCTGCCGCGGAGCTTGGCACAATCCCCTCAAACTGAGGGCTTGGATATGAGCCGACTTGCGTGGCCGAAAGCGCAGCGAGCAGCTTGCGTGCCATGTAGCTCTCTATCCTGTGCCTTGGTGGGGTTGTGTGTGATGTCTATGTTAAAAACCTTAAGCCCTTAACAAATCCGAGATTTTCTTCTTGCCGCGAAAGTCCAGGGAATTGACACATACATTTGCCTTCTTTAGACCATTCCCATGATTAAGGACTTATGTCTGCTCTTGGGGTATATTCAGAATCAACAGCATTGTCTCAAGTCAGATCGAAGCCAGATCTCCTTTTAGGTTCCCCAAGAAGGCAGGAGTAAAGGGAATCTCAGCAATATACCAACTTTGCCCAAAGCCTTCGCAATCGGAGTGGGTAGCCAACTTCAAGTTGGAAGTGTACATATCTTCTAGCTCATTCAAGGTTTTTCCATTTGTTGTCGTTGTCAACTGATTGGTCCCAGAGTTGAGGCTAGGCAAACTGTAGAACCTAACCCTACAAAGCAAACCCTCTCTGCTATATGTGGAAGCGCCTCCGCTCCCAGTACGCCAACACTGCATCTTCTCCATGTTTATCCCAGAACTTGGTTTAAGTGGTAGACTAGTTGGTTTTGTAGCCTCAATCTACAGACATAGTTTTGTTATCAAGAAAGCGCTTTTAGACTCAAGTTAAGTAAGTAGAGGTAGATTGACTGCTATCTTGTCTTGAGGTTGGGCTTAGGCAAGCTTGCAGGGGTTTATTTGGCTTCAGGGGCACTATCTTTAAGAAGGGATGCCTGCATGCCTTGAAATTCTGTCTGCATAAAGGCGTTTGCCCCCAGTCTAAGAGTCGCGTTCCGGACCTCAAACTCAAGCCAGGTTAGCATTAGCGAATAGTTTCGTCCCGCAGTCGTACTGTATTTTGGAGTGCGCGTCAACTTCAACAAGACAAAGTCATGTGAGTTGGGCTTGTCGAATGGGGGTGAGCCTCTTTATTAGGGCCTCAAAGAGAGGCGTCTATATTGACAATTCAGACGCTCCTGGTTCGCGAATAGCACCTATGTCAAACATGTTATCAAGATGCTAGCCAGGGCTTCACAGGCGCCCTCTAGATACCGAGTCTAAAAACTAGCAAAATATTGCAGGTTTCTAACCTCCGAGACGCGCTTTCTCCCCTTAGATGTTACACTCTGTTCTCACTCTAACGTCTTTTCGACTGTTCTTACTGGCAACGCCTATCAGCTTTATTAGGGTGGACACGCTGTTGCGTAGAAGCTGAGGTTGGTCATCTCCCAAAAGGTGATATCCAAATAACTTGCATTATCTAGGCACAATCCCTCACAGGAAATCCGGACAAATAAGGAGGACTTGCCCTACGTGTGCGGAGCTTCGGATGCAGTTCACCTTATTGACATCACTAATTAACGCATTGACGAGATGTGTGAGAATGCTTATAAGCGTCTCTAAGGCGTCTCCTCTACTTTGGACGGAGAATTCTTTAGTTACTTGTCCATGGGATGAGTAACGACTAGCAGCTCCTGGATGAGGGCTATCATTTTCAGCACCCCAAGTTTCGCGCTGCGGCACTCCATCGACGCCAATACCAGAAGAACTTTTGCGCCTGACTAGCAGTAGCCTGCCATATCAATACCAAGTCTAGACAGGTAGACCACCTTCCGAACCGGGGCGCTCAAGATCTCTTCGGCCCCTCCGCCGCACTAACCCACAAGCAGCAGCTGTACAAGCTTCCGGTACGCCTCCGTCGACGAGTTGTTTGGCTGAGCGCAGCTGGTCTAGAGCACTTCCCCTACTCAACACAGTGGTCCGTCCGCATCGTTGATTCTGGCTTGCACGTGGAATATCACCGACAAGGGATGCTGACAGACTCACTTAGCCCTTGTCGGGAAACACAGCTGGACATCAAGGGGGTTGCTTGCCGTGGACTGGTCCGTCCCGGCGGCGCACCGCCCGGTACCGCACAGTTAGGGTTAAATACCCTGCTGAAGCTGCCAGTCATTAACTCTGGTTCTAAGTGGACATGGCTTGTCTGGTTAGGCTGGCAATCACATGTTGGACATGGCGGCGGGCTTGATCCTCGGCGCGGGGGCAAACGACGAGCCAGTTGGGAGGCAAAGATATCCTGCAAACGTTATGAAATCAAACAACACCAGGGCTGGCGTAGACTTCCATCGGATCTACAGGCAGGAGGTCCTTAAAATCTCAACTCGTTGGGCCTGGCTTCTGGAGCATCTTGTTCGACACCGAGGCGCCTGCCTCTTCGGCTTTGAATCCAACCCTTTTAGCCGTCGTAGCTCCTTCTCAGGACAACCGGACACCAAGAAATCTTACTAGGGTTGTACGCGATTTATGAGCTGTGTTCCTCGCGCTGATCGTCGGCGCGAGACTCAGTCCTAGCTCGGTGTATGGCAGGCAAATGCAGCCTGGCAGGAACCGTGACCGGCCAGGATTGGATCCGGCAGGCTGCGGCCACCGTCGTACTGCGCCAGCCGGCCCTCAGATTGCGGCGTTCATCGTCAGGTCAACCCGAGTCCCTAGTATTCAGCCACCTTATAGTCACGCGCGGTTGGGGCTTGTCCCGGCTTCTACCAGCAGCATGCGCATTGCCGCTAGCCAGGTCGCCGTTAACAAGGGTTGGCACCGGTGATGAACGGAGCCTGGTGTCGATGTTGCCGGTTTCAGTCTCAGTCTGGCTGCCGCTCCCTATGACGCCTCGACCAGCAAGTGGGTTGCCTAGCAGGGTGGCTGGCATGACTTTTCTGTGTTTTGTTCGTGTCAACTGCCAGGCACTCGTCAGAACCGTCGACTAGCGCCGCGACCACGCTCGCCGCGCGTGTACCAGGCTGCTGGATCGCCTCAAGGCGCTCAACGTCTAGATCCTGGTAGCGGGGGTCTAGGCAAAGTTCGACCTCCGGCTTGGGATCGGCGGCGTCCTGGGCCTCCGGGGACTTACTTCATCCGCAATAGGCGAACCGCTAGACTTGCTGCATGCTCGGTATCATGTCAAACCCTAGAGCCGCCAGTCGTCGACGCCGCGGCGGTGGATAAGCGCCGCAGGTACTTGTAGCCATGCGGTCGGCCTAGGAGGCCCGACGGCGCAGACCTTGACGGGGTTTCCACGTTCCGCACCGGTAGGACGCGCCTGTTGTGCGCAACCGGGGTGGTATCGGCGACGTCTACCAATGATGTGGTGGCGATTTACCACGGTTGTGCGGTACCCGGGTTGTGCAGCCAGTGTCCACTGTCCAGTGGAGGCCGGCATTCAGTGGCAAGTCTGCCAGTGCTTCCCAACGTATCCCTTATCGCGTCCACAACCGGCTTCTTCTATAGGCGCAGACCCACGCCGTACAGGTTGGCCCGCAGAGCAGGAAGGTCACTTCTCCTTCCTAGTAGGCAACCACCTAAACAGGTGCCGCCTCGGGGACAGCCCATGACCACCCACTTCTGCTGTTTTCGTGCGGCCCGGTGGGCATTATGCGCCGTCATTGGGCCGGTTCGGTACCGTGGAGTCCGCGCGCTGGTCCCGTGGCTCGTGGCGCGCACGTTTATACATATACGGCGCCGTCGGCCGCCGGCGTCGGTGCCGCCCTACACAACCCATACTAGGGCCGCCACCGGTTCGCCCGCGGCAGGCGGGGGTTTGGGATCGGGTGCCCTGTCACGGCTCGACACCTGTCGCAGGGCCGGCCAACAACCAAGAGACGACCCCTCGGGGTGGCCTTGGTCGCCCGCGGGAGCCGAACGTGCCACATGCCTTTGGCGTCAGCGGTGGGCCAGGACGACCCAGATGGCGACTACCGGCAGGCGTGGGGCAAACGGTACGCTCAGAGTAGGCACTTAAACGCCTAGTAGAGTAGGCTGCGGCTACCATGCCGGGGACGCGGCGTCTGTTGACGGGGGCGGCGCGTAGGTGATCCTCAACGGGATTTCGGCATTGTCACGGGATAGGGCATGGATGGCATGCTCCGTTCTGGGATGAATATACTAGATTGATATGGCTGGGGGTGGACTGGTTGATGACCTGCAGGTCCATGATAAACTCGACCATGCTGAGGAGACAGGTCCCCATTCACCTCTCGACGTTGAACCTGATATCCGGCGCTTGCTGGCTGGGACTGTGTCGTTGCCAAGCACGGCCGCGATCCCGCCTCTTTGAACACCATGCAAGCCTGGTTGTTGGAATCCCCGCTGTTAACTAGGTCATAAAACGCCTGGACCTCCTCAGACAGCACGCCTTGCCGCTTGAGTTCGGTTCAATCATGATTTTGCTAGCTGCTCTGTAGAGGCCTTACGGCGTGGGTGGGACTCGTGTTCTAGCAGCAATCCGTTGCCGATCGTTCCTCAACGGCTACATCGGATATGAGCCGGACTAGGGGAAGAGGCGCTTATGATAATTTGGCTGCTTCATTAGGTAGATCTAGGATCTCTTAAGCAGAGTCCTTCGGTTAATAATTCCCAGTAAGAAGATTTCCATGGAAAGGGGTTCTAAGTCATGCCCCTGATTTGGAAAGAGAATATCAAGTGTAATTACCATAAAATTGGCAGTGCTAGAAGGTTTAAGTTAAGATAGTTTGGATTTGGCGGTCATCTTGATGAATTGAAGCAACTGTTTGAAACAAGTTTATATCTAGTGACTTGTAGCCAAACCGAGCAGTCTGGCAAACAAGGTAGTCAATATTTTCAGGAATGAAAAGCTTGTAGCTTGATACGTTCGACGGTTGTGTATAAAATAGATAGTGTCTGTTCGGATATGATCTGATATCCTCATCTACTTGAAAAAATGACGTCGAGTCCGTGGCTATATTCATGCCTGAATCGATATAATGAGTGGATTGAACTGGCAAGCACCTCGCTTCTCGCCGACGGCTGCGTCGTCGACGAGTAGGAAAAGAATAGACACTTCTTTAGTCTCTGTAGAACCACATCGTCCTGCATCCAGTTCTTCTTGGCATTCTGTTGCATCTCTCGCTTAACCGTAACTCTCCTCTCAAAGCAAATAGATAATTATTTAGGAGGTTTCGTTGTAAATGCTTAAGATGTTACAGAATATTAGGATCCATGTTTTTGGGTGGCTCATACCAAATGGGCTGCAGCGACTCATGATACTGTTTCCGATAAAGCAACCTAGAGGTCAGGTATCTCCCTAGTCCGAGCTCCTTACAAACAGCATCGTTGTTTCGCAAGCTTGTTAGACCGTCGTCAATCCCTATCTGCTCCACATGCCATCCACAGCCAGTAGGCTCCGTTTATATATGCTAGGTCAAGAGACCATGTCAGTACCAATTTCCCCACTAATGTGCTAGGAATTCCCAGTGCGTAACTGCATCCGTCATGCTCCACGCGCGGTACAAGGCTATGTCACACGTCTTAGCCGACATCCCAGCCGCAGTGCAAGACCGAGCCTAAATCTGACGGCATAGCTAGCAGCACATGGTTAGTTATATCTCGACCCCCAGCCCCTGATCGCTATGTACCACCGGTTCTTCCCCGTCCAAAACGACGCCAGCGCCCTCCCAGGCGCAACCCTGGAAGCCAATCCCGACGACAACAACCGCCTTCACATCCTAGAGAACCCTTTCGAGAAGTGCATGTTAGCCCAGTTCAACACCGGCGCCGTGGCCTGACTGCCGGAGGAACTTATCGCCGCTACGTCTAGGACCGCCGGCTAGCCTAGCCTCTTGACTGCCTTGAGGCGCTTGACGTGGTCGTCTTCCCCAACCTTGCCGTAGCTAAACTCTGCACTACATTTCAGAGCTGGGTGGAGATGTGAGGTGCAAATAATCCACAACGAGGCTTCTGGGAGTCAAAGCAGGGTTTGTCAACGTCGTTGAGGGTATCAAACGGTTGCCCATACCTGTACCTGGTCTGGTTATATTCATTCCATTCTTATCTTACCCTGTCTCTCTAGCCGCCATCCCTGCTCCTTCCTCCATTCTGTGTCGTGTCTTAGGCTTAGTTTTGCTTCCCGCTGCTTCGGTAAGTAGCTTTGATTCCAAGTCATATCCGCACACTTGAACTACGACTTGTGGGACATTAAGATCAACCCAACACGACACCCACCGGTTGTCGTCCAGAAACAACATCCCATCTCTCAGAGCGAGCACTTACCAATAGAGCCTCGATGCCAAGCTAGATGCTCCAAAGCTCCCCATCAGTACCATTAGGTTTGGCGAGACTGGAGACCGAGACTCAGGCCCAGCCTACACCGTCTCAGATACTAACAACCGACTTTTCCATGCAGTCGCCTCCACCTCCCCTACCCCCTCGACGAGGAGGAAGGAGATCATCATAGGAGTTTGCCAGTACGGCCTCTCAACACCAGTGCCGGTGTTTCGCACTAGTATCGACACTAATCCTGCTAGCAGTACCGGCACAAACTTAGCTAATCACAACCAACAACCAGCGGCTTCGCTATAGCCGGGCGCCCCGCCCTGTCAGAGCATCTTTGCCTGCACAATGTTTTGTCAGCATCACAGGGGTGCTTGCCGGGCCCTAGGGGATGATGGAACCGAAACGCCGTTCTGGGATGTGGGGGAGGCTCGTGTGCATGTCTGTGGGGCATAGATGTAGGTAGGTGCAACCGGCAGGAAAAGGGGCTAGGAAAAGGCGGATAGGAAGGGGAAGGCGAGGGGGGAGGTTATTCTGGCTGTCTAGGATAGAGTGTTATTGATGGCGTGTAGCGTTTTGGTCAAGCGTGTTGTGCTTCAATTGGATGGTTGGCAGACTGTGTGGTTGTGGAGGTAGGAGATATAGGGATGGGGATGCGGTGGGGACGAGACGGGCACAGGAATAGGGATGAGAATAGTGGAGGGAGACGCAGCGGAGGAGTGTCGACGTCCACCTTTGGACAAGTTTTCGTTGCCGGCAAAGAAGAATCGAGACAAGTCCGCGCTTGGTGAATGCACGGAACCAATTCCTCTTCTAAATCCAACTACCGATGATAAAATTACTTTCTCGCACATATAAGAACAAGTCTATCCACAGCGCATTACCAGAGATATCAACTGATGAAAACCTAACCTAGAGGCAGATGACTCGCCCTTGGCTATTGGCTCCATACTTCTGTGCTTGCGTGATCGCAATGTTGGGACACCTGGGCCTACTCCCCGCAGCAACATCAACTCGAAACCCACCGAATATCCCTCAAGAAGATTTTTATTTCCCCAAGGTAACACTCACAATCAAGCAGTAAAGCACAGATGCGATACACGCTGCAGACATGGACGAGGGGAAACTTACAAATGATACCAGCGTGATTCTGAATGGAGAGCTACCTGGATTTGGGGTGCAAACGAGCGCTTCTGGAGAGTATGGCAAAAGCTGGTCAATGTGCATGGTGTAAGGGTTGCCATTTTGGTGACCTTAGATTCCAAGACAGGTGTCAGAAGAGGGCCATTACCTAATGAGTCTCTTCTCGTCTTCACTGGTTGGAGGTTACCGCTAACCCACGAGCCCGGCCCTCTCCATGATACAGTGTTACCCGTTGTCTTCTGCCTCCTGCATGAACTTGTTTCACGACAGGTCATTTAAGTCCCCGCCATGTATTAGTCCTATCCCGCCATCATGTCGCTTTATGGGTCGCCTTCGTCAAGATCGTCGTTGGTGGTGGGGTTTGTGACACGCGACGCTGAGCTGGGAGCGGGAGAGGGAGAAGTGGGGATGAGAGGGGACAGCGTATTGGCCCGGGAGCAGGCAAAATATTCCTGTTCTCTTTCCGTTTGCTCTCTGGTCCAACTGAGATATTGCAACACCTGCAGTGCCCCAGCGGGAAATCATGGGTCCCTCTCTGGCTATATAGCCCAGGTTCCCGTTCTTCCTTTCTCTTATTTCCTCTCTCTTCTTCTCTCTACGTTCCCCAAGACACGGAACCGGCAACAGTGTATTGACCATCAACGGCAAACATAACCAAGACCAAGCACAGCCAAGTGGGATCGTTGACGCCCCCCAAGTTTGCAACATTCTAGCAGGATGGACGCACTGGAATTCCACCGTGATACGGTGCGCATGCTAAAGGAGCAGCTCAGGGAAATTCAGGAGGCGCGAATGGTAAGACTTGTCCACCCACAAGTGCTCCCACCTTGTTTCATCAGCACTCCTCTTGCCATTAATCTCAACCCTGTCCAGCACACCGTTCTTGCCAGAACGACAACAATTTATCACCAAATAACTAACCTTACCCCCATCTGCCAGCAATACAACCAAGGCCCAGCCAACAACAGAGCAAACGACTGGCCCACCGACAGAGGCATAGCAGCCCTCTTCCCCATCAACATACCCCGCGCCTTCACCCCCGCCACCCCAACCCTCCTAGCACAAACAACCCTCCTCGCCCTCGCCATCTACATCCTCCCCAACCCAATCCTCGCCCTCCTATACAGCCTCATCGGCATTCTCAGCGTAGGCCTCATCAGCCGCCTCCTCCACCGCCTCCCGCAACGCCACGAACTCCAGACAGAGCGCCACCGCCTCCACCGCCTTATCAACAAGCTCGTTGTCGTGTACCGCCTCGGCCATGCCCGTCGCGGATACGGAGGAGGGGAAGTGGTGGCGAGGTATGATGATAACTACCTCCGCGCGAGCTATCTTGTTGCTAGGATGGTGGTCAGGATTGACGCGATTGAGCATGATTTGGCGCTGGAGCGAATGCAGCGGGATGTTGCGGGGATGGTGCGGGAGTGCGAGGGGATGGTTGGGGTTATTGAGGCGGGGCGGTTGGGGTGGTGGGGGGTGGTTGTGGCGGGGGATTTTGAGGTTGGGGATCTGGGGGGGGGCGGTGGTTTGGGCGGCTATTGGTTGGATTGGGGTTGTTGGGTTGAGGTATGGTGGTGTTCTTGAGGTGGACATGGTTGCGCGGGACACGACGAGGTTTTTGAGGTGGGAAGGAGTGGTTTTCGGGTGCATCTGGCAGGGCAGGATTGCTAAAGATTGGGAAGATGAGTAGCAAGGGAGGGTCTAGTGAGGCGGATGGCGTGGAAATGGGTGACTATCTTGAAGAAATAGCAACCGAAACTGTTGATATAGAGTTGAGATAGTTGCTACGACTGCTGTTAGCCTTTAGTGTGGTGATTTTATCGATCCAGGCCCCCTTTTGGATAGGGGTGAAGTCCAATTAATTGCGTCAGGTTCACTGTTGTTGTTAAGGGACCACTAGTGGTCTGCATGCGCGGGGATTTGGGATCGACTTGGGCGAGTGGCCGGGGTGACTCTGGTTTAGTGGGTTGAAGATTGGAGGAACTGTTAATCTCTAGATAGCTTCGACGGCGGTAATCGCGCAGCTCGTAAGGGCTGGGAGGACTGCGGCAGCGAGTCCTCATTGTCGGTATCTGATATCTGACCGGAGGCTGGTAAGCAGGGCCGTTTCGTTGGGAACCTTGAACGCCTAATGGAAGGCTCCGAGTTGGACGCCGGGAGAATGGGCCTCTTTTTTACGTAACACTGGATCCAATTATGCGAGTAAAAGTACACCCGGTCTACGTTGTAGGGCGGTAGTCATTTGGGATCCCAGACGTAGGAGGGGAGGGCTTGATTCGGGCAGGGGTCGGTTGGTAGCGGCAGTACCCATGCGTGCCCCTGCAAGGACTCGCCGGCGTTGTTGCAGGCATTCGGCATCGTGGAAATCGGTCGCGGAAGTCGTAATGTAACGGTTAGTTCAAAGAGTCGTGCCGTATAGCAAGCTCGTAGGAAGAGGCTTCAAAGTTGCAACGGGTGGGACCCAGCGAGGTAGACAGTGGCACGGTGATGATTGGCGACCATGTACCGAGAATTGAGGCCACTGAGTAATATTGACTGAAGCGTGAGGCCAAACTACCTAGGTATGGGTGGAAGTAAGGCATATATATACTTCCATCAAGAGGGTCCGAGGTTGAGCTCCGGACCCGGAGCTCCGGGATAGTCCGGCACATCAAGGCCGTGGCGATCCATTCTGCCGATCCATGCCGTAACAGAAGTGGGTCCAGCCCGATACCATGCGGAGGCCAGGGGATGTCGGGTCGAACCTCCATACCCTCCTGGGCTCCTCTTGCAAGGTACCGTCGCCGATTGCCTGGTGCCAATTGCCGTCGCTCGATTGCTGATACATGCCGATACTTTGTAATTGCGATGATTGCCAATTGCCATGCCGATACTGGCTACAATTGTTATCGCTGATTGGCGATACTGACTGGTGATACCGATTGCCGATACTGATCGCTATCGACATGTCTGTACCCCCGTTCCTTTGGCTATCTATCAACATCGCCATCACCGTCGCTATTCCAATCGCCCTCGCTATTTATATTGCCGCTACTGCGGTTGTCGCAATTGCGATTGCTATCGCCGTCGCTATCGCTGTCTTGCGGCAGCTTCGGCAAGCCAGTTGGGCGCACAGAATCTGGGTCCCGCTGAGTCATCTCAAAATGTCGCTGGAAATCGCCATTTCGAGGGGTCATGGTGCGTGCTCACAATGTCCCAAGTGTGTGGGCCATGCAAAAAGGCCGACAGTCGCTGGGACTTCCGCCAATGGGCTGGAGCACTCGGACATTGATGACTGCGAACTGCGCTCAATTGGCACGGCAATCTTCCCCATGTGAGGATGGCATGGAGATTTATCACGGTACGAATGCATGACGTTGTTCGGTTGTTTCGCGAAGTAGCGTGGGCCCTGCAGAATGCCACCAAAACGCCTCCAATTGCTGGTGCCGCGAACCCATGGGCCAAACTTGAAAGCGGTGCATCTCCACGAATAATGCTCCGAATTGTATTCTGAGTTCGGATATGGTGTCGCCTCAATTGATTGCACATATTTTGGGCGTTGTATCATGTTGGGACAATGGGAATGCCGCCAAGATTTGTCTTGTGTGTTAAGCTGGAACTCTGTGTCGGGAACATCGGCGGATTGGCGATGATGGATGACTCAGCGACAGCCCTGTGGCTGTGCGCGTGCAGAATGCCACCAGATGCAGAATGCCACCAGACAACTGGTGGCATTCTGCACGCGCACGAGCCATCCGGTGGCATTCTGCAGGTTCCCGACCCCAAGACCGGGCGGCACCACTGAAATGGGCGGCTCCACTGAAATGGGCAGCGCGCCACTGAAATGGGGGCGCCACAGCACCATTTGAGATGAATCCACTGCACACCAGGTGTGGTCGCGTCATGAAGCGGCAGTGGACTTAATTGCCGACGTGGCCGGAACTTCCGCCAATAAGTATTCGCCACAGGTCTTGACGATTTTATTGCAGTGGTGCCCGGTCTTCCCAAGGGGTGGGACCTGCAGAATGCCACCAGATGATCCGTGCACGTGCAGAATGCCACCAGTTTTCTGGTGGCATTCTGCATCTGGTACCGCCCATTTCAGTGGCGCAGGCCATTTCTGAGCTGCCGATGACTTATCTCATCCCAAAATGTCCCGGAAATGGCACGTGCCTCGCAATTTGTGCACATCGACACCCAATTCCAAGGCCCTTGCTGAGTCATCCGAGCCCTGGCTCTGAAGTACGGGCAGAAACGGGCCACGCTGCATCTCCACGGGAAATCGCCCAAATTGAATTCTGACTTCAAATATGGAATCACCTCAATTGAGTGCACATTTGTGCCAAGTTGCATCATGTTTGAACGGGGTTTACATGCCAGGAGTACGTACTCACTGGTACTGTACGTACCAGCTTAGGGCAAGGGCGAAAAATGTTAGCGATTGGCTAGGAGCATCCGTGCCGCACACCAGACCCACACGACACCGCGTAGGCTCAAAGAACCCCGCCAAATCCCCAAATCCCCAAATCCCAGCCAAGCTTGTCCAAATCACCGCATCCCACCCCGCAATGGCGCTCACGGAAAAAGTGCTGCGCCTCAATGCGCTAACCCCTACGATGGTCAATCCGGAGCTAGGGCCACTGTGGCGAGAGATTCGAGACGATTTTGCGCGCGAGCAAGCGGGCAACGACGAAGACAGACCAGCAGCTCTCTTTGGCGTGTGGGCGGTGGCCAACATCCGTCACGTGATCCTCAACGCGCTGTGCCCGACCGAATTCCTCGACGCTGTCGAAGCTGCCAGCTGCCACGAAAAGGGCCAGGCGCGGTACCGGATCAATTCCTTCTGCAAGGAGTACGGCACGACACCTGCCATCTGTCATGTGCTCTTCGAGACCCCTGTTGTGTTCAGCCGCTCTGCCCTTGACGCGCTGAAGAAGCTGCGCAAGGACTACCAGCCCATCATCTCCATCTGCGACATTTCGCGGGCCTTCCACGAGCAGAGGATCAAGACCAAGCGCGCTGGACCGGGGACATGGCTTCGAAAGGCCGTCGTCGAGCGTGAGTTGGGCACTTGTGTCCTTCACCCCCTTGACATGGACCAGCTAACGTGACGGGATTCATCGCAGTGGCGGGCAGTCCGGACGTTTGGCGGACCAGGAGGCAGCGCAGAGCCATCGGAGAGGAGGCACCAGACGCGCAAGACACGCCGTTGGCCTCAGAGGCGGAGATGGACGCCGCAGAGGAGGATGATGATGCCGAGTTTGCTGGTCGGGACGACGATCAACAACACGGGCACGAGGGCGAGGGCGGTATCAGCCAGGCTCCGGAACAGGGGCATGGCGATGACCACCAAGGTGAGGCAACCCTGTCCCGTCCATCGATCCCAACTAACTCGGCTGTGCTAGATGAACCGGCCCCAGGGGCGGACATGGACGCTGAGGAGGAAGACAATGCCGAGCCCGCTGGCCAGGACGACGATCAGCAACACAGTGAGAGACTCGAGCATGACCATGGCCCCGGCCACGGCCACCAAGGTGAGGCACCCCGTCCCCCGTCTCCGTCCATGGATCCTAGCTAACTCGCCTCTGCTAGATGAACCAGCCCCGGAGGCACCCGGATCCAGCATCCCGATCCAGGAAGAAGACCGTCCTGCCGCCCATGATGGCGATGATGCCCCATTTCCCGAGACGGGCCGGCACCGGGCCGACTCCGACCTTCCGGATCAGTCTTCTCTGTTCGGTGAGGACCCTGCCAGCGCCGACGACAGGTCCGAGGTCGATGAGGCAGAGAACGCGGTCGTCGTCGACGATGACATCGGCGACATGCCAGGGCCCAGCCAGTCTACCACCCCTGCCCCGTTCCTGGAGCTCGATTCTACCGAGGATGCAGCATTGGCTGTGCCCGACCTCACTTCCGGCATCCTGGTCGATATCAGCGAGGCCACCGAGCAGGAGATGGTGCCTCTCGACGAACCCGTCCCTGTCTCGCATTTTCCTCCCGGCGGACCAGCATCACCCGTCCAAGACACGGACAACGGCGAGGGCAGCTCCCATCAGCCAGCTGTCAACCCCCCCTCCTCGGTCAAGCGACCCCGGTCGGCGAGCCCCGGCACCGACAACGAAGCCGCCAAGAGAGGCCGGACCGAGACGACGGTGATGATGGACACGGGCCTCGGCCAAGCCGTCGAGGCAATGGGCAAGCTCGAGGGCACCGCGTGGATCAGCGACGACGTCGTGTTCGCCCTCCTCCGCCGCCTCCCGCGCCGGCACCCGTCGGTGGGGCTGGTTGACAGTCTCAACCTGTGGGCGCGCCGGACGACCCGCCTGAGGGACCGCCTCCGCTCGGAGCTGCTGGATCGCGACCAGGTGCTGGTGCCCGTCTGCCTGTCTCGGCACTGGCTGCTCTTCCGGTGGAGCGGCGTCGCCAATGTCCTCGAGAGGTTCGATCCCATGCGCGGAGTGGTGGGTTAGGAGACCACGGCTCACGCTACGAAGACTGTCATCGGGTTCCTGGAGTGGGTGCTGGACAGGGAGTTGTCCGACATCCAGACCGCCGACGTCGAGGTGAGAGAGACTGACTGTTTCTACCCCTGATCCCACCACAGACCCGACCGGTTACTGACGTGTGCTCTACCTTTCCTCTCCAGTGCCCGCAGCAAAACAACGGCTACGACTGCGGCGTCTACATCATGGAGTTCGCCCTCCGCCTCGCCGCAGCAACCACCGCCACCACCCCCCCGGCACCGCAGTTGCTCGACGCCGCAATGGACGGCCAGGTCCTCCGCCGCCGCTTCGCCGACCTCCTCGTCACCTCCGACGACGCCGTGCTCCCCCTCGCCGAGTACCATCCCTCCTCCTCCTCCGACAACCCCCTCCTCCTACGCAGCAACCGCCTCTCGACCATCGCCCAGCGCGCACCCCACCTCCGCGCCCTCGCCGGAGACCACCGCGCCGCGGCCCCCCACATCTACACGCCGCCCGTGCCCTTCGCCACCATCGCCGACTGCGAGATCGCGGGGGAGTGCGTGTTCGCGCTGGCTAGCACCGTGCACGACCTGCACGCGCGGCACCGCGCCGTCCTGCTGTCTGCGGCGGGGAGGGGCGCGAGGTTGGATGTGCAGAGGAGGCAGAGGGAGTTGCTTGGGGAGTTTCTTGCGCTGCGGAGGAGGGGGGTGGGAGGGGAGGGTGAGGGTGGGGAGTATGCTGATGCTATGGCGGCTGTGGAGGAGAAGGTTTGTGTGGTGGAGGGGCTGTGGAATAGGGGGTTGGATGGGGGGGTTGGGGATGCAGAGAGGGAGGTGGTGAGGGAGATGTATGCTGAGTGTGTGGTGCTTTTGTTGGTCATGCGGTATGCTGTGGGACGGTATCGCGAGGTGCTGCCTGTGTGGACGCAGCTGAGGGGGGAGTGTGGGTTGTGAGGCTTTGCTGGACTGTGGTTGCTGTTGGGTTGGTGTCGTTGCTGTGGGTATTTGCTATTCGGGTCTCTAAGGAGTGTTTACTTGCTTATACGATACCCTAGAGTTGATATCACTGCGGTATATGCCTTGCCTCTTCTCATTTCCTTTGCTGCATGCGTATATATAATCAACCTTACTATGATTACCTTCAACTAGGAGTCCCAAACGCGTCAAACTGCCTCTTCCAAACCACTGGCTGTGCCTTTTTCTCTGTCTGGAAGTAGTAAAACCAAGGGGTATCTGGAAGAAAACATTTGAACCGAACAAGTAGATATTAAGCTGTCTCTTGCATATTTCCTTGCAGAGAGTAACTTGTCCCTGTTGGCCACCCTGGCTCTGCTTCCATCAGTCTGGCTGCCTTACATGCGGCTTTCCAGCTATAACTAGTGGTTAAGATATATGGGGGATGTCTTGGGCAGACTGGAAGTCTCTTTCTAGACAGGACTCAACTACAAAGCCCACGACGCTGGGACTTGGCTCGGGTAACTCCCACAGTGTGATTCTAGCTTAGGTCAAGCGGATTCTGACAGCAATATTCCTGGTGGACCTGCCATATTCCATGTCCCTAGATGATGCTACACGCTGGTTTGGAATAAGAGGAACTACCGTCACAAGCTCTCGAGACACTGCCAAATACAGGATAAATCCGTGACAAAATGGTGGATGCTAAATACCAATCGCTGCGGCTGAGTTTCGTTTCGTTATGTCTTTAAAAATGGAGATACCCATTGCCGGGAAGCACCCAGTCCGGTGACCGCCGGGATCCAGAAATGACCAAAGGCGTTGACTAGAATCCCGTCCATACGAAGTTATCAATGCCTATCTTACCAGTGTGCCTGCTAGCGGGGAGGCTGCTGGTCTTTACTGTCAACAACTTCGCAGGCTAGCACTTGTCGTAGGTTCCCCTTATATTCGGCGTGATCATAAACTGGCAGAGGAGGCCTGTCGTCTGGCCTAACACTGACAGTCGGCTCTCCCTGGCTCTGGTCCATGTTTGGGGTTACTTGCGGCATTTACTCACGTCTATAGCATGTTAATCTATACAAACAAGACTTGCAGCAGCGTCAAGGCAGCAGTGTCAAAGTGTAACTATCACTAGTAATATGTTGCTGTTAAGTTTGTGTTGTTGTGGCAGGTAGTTGCTATTTAGGTTTCCAAAAGACTGTCTAATTGCTTATACACTGCGGCATGTGCCTTACTTCTCCTCGTTGGCTTTGCCGCATACGTATGATTAACAATGCTATAATTACCATCAACTATAATGACAAATGAGTTAAATTATCACTTCCTAACCACCTGGCTATGCCTTTTTCTTTGGCTAAAGGTAGTAAAATCTAGGGGTATTTAGAAAAAGACATTTAAAGTATTGGCTTATGACTTCAAGCCACTTTATGTGACCACCTCAGCCACCATCTTAGCCACCAGGCTTTCCCCGACCCCAAGTGTGGGGTATTCTATTAGCCCGGGCCTGGCGCATCTATTTGCTTTTTGCTTATATAACCACACGCGCGCTGCACAAACCCCGCAACGCCAACACCTCTGCAATCTGACAAGGGCAAGGACTTTGCGCACAATCCATCAAGACCATGGCGACTACCAACAGACACACCCCACTAGCCACAATCGGCATCCTATCGATTGGCGACATGGGCCTCGGCATTGCCAAGCTGCTCAAGGCCAAGGGCTTCTCTGTGGCGACGAATTGTCAGGGTCGCAGGTAATTAATTGGCTCATTCCAACCTACCTACATCTGAAGACCATCACCGTCTTGATTCCGTTGACTTTTATATTCCTAGCGCACTAACCACACTCAACAGCCAAGACACCATCGACAGGGCAGCCGAGGCGCACGTCAACATGCTGCCCAGCGACGTCGCCCTGGTCGGCGCCTGCGACGTCATCCTCTCCGTGGTGCCGCCGCGCGACGCCGAGGCCACGGCGCAGCGCATCCTGGACGCCGTGGCCGTCCTCCCGGGGGCGCGCGATCCCGACGCGCCGCCGCTCCACTTCGCCGACATGAACGCGGTCGCCCCGTCCACGTCCAGGGCCATGGCCGCGTCATTCGCCAAGTCGGGCCTGCCCGTCGCCTTCGTCGACGGCTCCATCATCGGCGGCCCACCCACACCACTCCAGGGCGAGTCGGGCGAGTGGTCGCTGCCGCTGATGCCCGCCTCCGGTCCGCACAAGCTCGCCGACTTGCCCCGCTATGGAGAGCAGCTGACCGCGGCGCTGCGCATGCGCCACATCTCGGACGAGGTGGGCGCCGCGTCCGGGCTCAAGATGTGCTTTGCGAGCATGACCAAGGGATACACGGCCATCGCGCTGCAGGCCTTCACGTCGGCGCGGCGCATGGGCGTGCTGGGCGACCTCCAGGACGCGATGCGCACTGTGGCTGGGCCGGCGCGCCTCGAGCAGACTGAGGCTGGGCTGGTGGGTATGGCGCCTAAGGCGTATCGCTGGGTGTGTGAGATGGAGGAGATTGGTAAGACACATGCTGAGGAGGGTGGTTTTGACGGGGACCTGTTCCGGGGCGTGGCTGGCGTGTATCGGACGGTGGCGGATGATACTGTGCTGGGGCTGGAGAAGGTTGGCAAACGGGTCCGGGGCACTACGGCTGATGACATTGCACAGGCTATGGTGGAGGGGATGGAGGCTAAGAGGAGGAAGACGGAGTGAATTGGTTAGTTGCAAGCTTATGGGAGACGTTTGTAAACTTTGACAGTCTTTATTGGAACTACCTACGAAATGGACAAAATGTATTGTACTATAATCTAGGGAGTGGCAACTTTATACGACAAGGGTTGAAATGGGTGTCTTGCTATGGTTTGGGCTGGGACGGCCGTTGATATGGAGATCGCTGAGTGTGACGGGGTTGTTGCTGTTGGTCCGCTTCTAGGCATGGATAGAGCGTTCTTACAGATGTGCAGCGATGAACACCGAGGCGCGAGGCGATCTGGTTGCAAGCAGATGACTTTGTCAGAGTGGCTGGGGTTGTCTAGTGTATGCCTGGGTTTACTATGGATTATCCGGTTGACATTGATACTACACTGGTTGGGTGCGTTGATTATTGCCGGGTTGATTGGTGGTATTGCTGGCGGCTTATGGTTGATATCTATGCTATGGTTCTTGGAATCACCATCTGGTGGGTGCTGGCGCCGGTGCAGTTTGTTGTGGGTGGGAGAGGTTGATATTGGCATCTGGTGACTGGACGCGCGCACATCGTGCCTGTCGTCGTCGCACTGGACTAGATGGGAACAGGTTTGGAGGGTTGCTTGACACTGTGAGTCGGCTTGAACTGGTCGGTAGCGTTGGGGTGACCGAGCCATTAGGTAGGGTGGGTGTCGCAGTTGCTAGGCTTGCTGCGCATCTACCCTCGTGGTCTATCGGGGCGGCACTCGGCAATGGTATCGCAGATGTGTGTCCATTGGCCAGTCCGCGGTAATGAGCGGCCCGGCTGGCGTGTGCCCAGCACTGTCATGAGCTTTGGGATTCACCGGGGTGGCTAATTCTGCTCAATCGCTGCCACTGTAAGGCTGGGGTTCTTAAACGGGGTCTTGCCGTCGGGGTCCTGCGACCTGTGCTCAATGGTGACTGCCTGACGGTCGTCGCCGGGGCCTCGACGATGACGATCTGTTGCCGCTATCCGCCAGCGGGGAACAGGTGCGAGGGGCGGCGAGGAAAGCTTGGCAGCGATGGCGTAGATTTTAACACCGCTGATGGTGCAGATACTGGCGGTGATGCCGATACTGACGGTCCTAACGGCTCCGACCGCTTAGGCGATACCAACAATGGTTACTAACGGGATTGGAAAAACTAACAGTACGGCGGTTTGGTGATGATCCTTCGGATACGCGGGAGTAGATTGGGTTACGATCGGGTTGAGACACGGCGCCGAGCCATAGCCTAGGGGTTGCGTTTCCGCAGAGCGCGTGATGCAAACGTTGTTCTTGGCCAATATCGTGCCAGACTGTTGACTACGGTTAATTACCACGCGTTTTTGCGAGTTGCTGCCATTGATTTCCGCTGTCCTAGACGACGAGGTTTTAGGTCAAATTGGGCAAACGATATTGTAGTACCTGGCCTAGAGGCGTGTACCGCCATTGTTGGCTGTCACGCGCGGATGCCTGCTAGCTTTTCGTGCTAATTATACGGCTCTTCCTCTGGCGCGTACTTGGGGTTTCCTACGGTGGGCCATAAGGGGAACTGTCTCAAAACCAAATTTTCACTAGGCGTACTCTAGGCGTACGCTACCAAACAACGCTTTCGTATATTGAACAAAGCAGCTTTGTAGTAATCGAGTCACAGGCCAGACCCACCAAAAATACTGACCAATCACATCGTATACTAAAGCCTTTGTAGTAATCGAGTCACAAGGCAAGACCCACCCAAAATACTGACCAATCACATCGTATACTAAAGTAGAAGGCTGCACTAGATTGAACAAAGCCGCTTTATTTTGACAACCTAACCAATCAGAGGCTAGGACCTTACCTGCAGTATTTATCACACCTGCAGCCCACCTTACATTTGCCCTTTTCAATTTAACCTCCAAACCACCTGCAGGTAAGTTTCACCCACGCGATTTCTTACGCGCGCGTATAATCTTGTAATGGTTTTGAAGTCAAACCATCATAAGATATTCAAGTCTAATCAAGGATTATTTTTCCTGGTTTGGTTTGGACTATTTTTGCCTGATCTTAGTTTGGAAGGCATGGCCTGCGTGGCATAGCCTGCGTTGTAGGGTAAGGATCTGCAGCTAACTGAAAAATTCTTGTGCTAGGACTGAACAGGATTGATTAGAGCAGTATGACCTTTTACATATCCAAACTCTGACCCTTGAAGAAGAATAATGACGGATGCTGCAGATGCTGGAGACGACGATGATGTCTAAATCTAGCTAAAGCTGTACCAAAGAGTGGCGCTCTCAGTAGCAAACGTCCAAGACCCGGCGCCAAAGAATAATGCGGATACCAAGAAGAATGCTGCGTGGCTCTTGACCTAGGCAAATAGCACTGTATTTAACGATGTCTATCGCATTCTTGAGACGTCTAGGGTAAGTCAGGTTTTTACCAGCTTGTACAGACGTGTACTAACTGTAACTAGGAAATTAAGCGCCTTGGTGTATTCAAGAAAGTCTGATCGAAAGGCAAACTTCACTTTCTGACAATCACCTTCACGAGACAGCTGCAGTATAGCGCCCTTGCTGCTTACTTTATGGTTAAGAAAGGCTAGTATATTGTTGCATACAGCTGTACAAGACTGTATATAGTCAAATAATATAACTAACATCACATCTGTAGAAAACGCTGAAACATGCCAAGCATGCGCGCGTAAGGGAGGCTTAGGCCCAATGGCCAAGTGTGTTGCAAACAGCGCCTACTTTAGTAGGGCTTGCACAAACTGCTAGTTTTTAAGTTTGCAAGGAAGATGCATGCTTGTCACCTGTAAGTGTTTGTTTTAGCTTGTTCAATACTGTACTAATTTGTTTATGGTAGCATCCCCTAGCAAAGCCAAGAAATGACCCCAAACTTCCAAAACCGAGTCTAGAGAAGACAGTGACGAGGATGGTCACAAGGATTCATGGATTTGCAAAGCTAGTGATAAGACTTTGAAGCTTCTTGCGAAGGAGATTGAGAGAGAGCTAGAACGACGCAGCAAGTAGTATAGTCTTGCGTAGGGATTTTCATACTTGTATAGGGATTGGTAAGGTCAATGGCGTTCAGGTAAGACATAAAGTCTTTTAAAGATACCTATACCAACTTGCTTTTTTGCTTTTATAGCTGCACAAACTAGAATAACCTTAATCAAACTAGAATAACCTTGATTAAACATGCAAATAGATTTTCCCAGTTTGACAATTTGTGATTAATAAGCTAGCTAACTCTAATTAGGTTAGCTTAAAAATAGCTTTTGGCTGACTAATTACCAAACTGGAGGTTTTAGACTTTGGCTTTTTCTTCTTTTTACTTTTATTGTCATTGTACAAATGTGATTAATTATGCTGCGACTGCAGATTAATCTTGATCAACATTGACAGTTTATTTGCAGTCTTTATCATAATGGCTTTGCTTTGAATGATATTTTTACAAGCTTGCAAGACAAGTTTTCTATTTCTATTAGACGCGCTACTCTTTACCGTTGCATGAAGATATAGAGGCTTTTACCTTGACAAACCTGTACAATCCTGACCAACTATCTACAAGATTAAATCGTTGAGTTGTACTTTGCTGTAGGTTTGTTAGACTTAGAAATGCATCAGAAACTTAATACCAAAGGCTATACGGTTTTGCTTTGGGGTATACAGCGCTTGCGCAGAGATTAACAAATATTTTGCCGCTACAATCAACATCGATTCAAGCAGCTTAAACAAGCGTAACAATCCCTCTGCCAATTCTTTGAGGCTAAACAAGTTGGAATAAACCTTGCTTATCGCATGGGAAAACATACTCTTTATACCTTTGTTTGACAACATATGTACAATATCTTACAAACCCTTATGTAGAATATCTACACTGATTTTCACTTGGATGATATTGTATAACGTTGCAATTAGCTATACTGATGCTGTAGAGGTTGGACTGCACCTAGGCTAAACTACATCTGGTTAGTAGATAGCTACTGCAAGCTTAAACTATTTGGGTTTGAGATTTACGCTAGAATCGATGCGTATTCTTGATACATCACATGGTTTTACATTGGTGTATCTGCATGTACAGCTTAGAACATGCTTGCGCAATACGTTGCTGTTGTAAAGCTATATGGTTTTATACCATTAGCTATTTGATTAGACTGTAGCATGGAAATAGGCTTGACAGCTAGGGCATACTACTAGCTATTATCTAAGGCATACAAAAAAGGATTGCGTTGTTGATGGTTAGCGCAACCCTGTACAGTCTAGCACAAGCCTGTACAAGGCAATATAGACTTGGCATATCCTAGTCTGGTACTAGCTAGCGAGCATCCTACGCTAGCCAGCTCTATGCTAGCTAGTTCTCAAATAGTCAAGGCGGAACCTATTCCTAACGTCTTACTTATTGAGGATTGCTAGATGTTTGGAAAGAGTACATTTAATGTCAAGATTGAACAATGGTGAGGTTAGCTATGTCAAAACTGTGGCATGACATGGCGAGTAAGTACTTTCTTGATCTTTCTTTTTTCAAGCTTGTACTAACATATACAAGCGCTACTTTGGTTGACTTTATATGAAAGGACTTTTCCAACGCTTATCGCTTCCCGATTGAATTGCTATCTTGTATATCTATATGCTACGCATTCGACATGAGTTTACCGAGTTTGTGCAACTTTGGAACGCTTACTATATTCGAAAATAGCTAAGTTAACCACATGTATAGCATGGAAAACCTTGGGTGCTTTAGAATATGCTAAATCTAGAGGTGGCTAAAGAATGTCGAGTTATACCAGACTTGCATAGCCTTGCACAACTTGAATCACTTGTCAATTAGGATGGTATTGACTTGGACAAATACTTACCTCCAAATACAATAGAGGTTTGTAACTGTATAATAATGTCTTTAGGTGGCATGCTGGAAAAAATCCTTGAGGAAGAGCGGTCAAGTCTATTTTTTACTCAATACCTACAGCTTTGTGAATTGCTTACCAGGTACATTGACGAAAAGGAAGAGCTAGCTTTGTCATTATGCAAACAACATCGATTAAATGATGGTAATGTTTGCATGTTTTTGGAACAACAAGGTGTTTCTTTTGACAACCTTGACTAACAGTTTGATGATGATATACCTGACTTTTTCGATTTGGATTTGGAATGAACATGTATGTATAACCTTGTGCAGCATAAATAGATATATCTCAACTTTGCGTTGTCAAATTATAGTCAACCTCTCTTTGGCTAGAGTCTGTCAATCCTATATGACTTTGCTTTTATACTGTCTAACGCGTATTTATCTCAAACAAAACCTGCGTATCCTTAACCTTCAGTCTTCTATTATGTCTAGACGTGACTATGTTTGTACAACCCTGCTTGTTTCCTACTAGTCTCTGCTTTGCCTTGACTAGTCTCTGATTTGTCTTGGCTAGTCTCTGATCTGCCTTGACTAGCCTTGGCTTAGCCTTGACAAGCCTTAGCTTAGCCTTGACTAGCCTTGGCTTAGTCTTGACTGGTGCTTGCTTTGGATTAGCTGTCTTTAAGTTCTTATCATCTATATCCTCCTCCTTGATAGCTTTCTTTGACTGTGCCTTGATTTGCTTTGTACTGCCTTTGCCTTTTTTGTATAGCATCTAATCATTCTTTATCTCCTGGCTAGTGAAAACAGTCAAGATATATGGTTCTTTCTCTTGCCTTGGACATATAATATCCAACATCTCTTGGAGGGAAAATGGGCTTGTAGAGACTTGTGCAAGCTCTGTCACAGACGAGGCGTTTCTAGCCATAACTGATGTAATCAGTCGCCAATCTTTTGCACGTGCCTTGGCCTCGATGTTGAAAGTACTAAGAAGCTGACCAATAAACTTTGCATATGACTAGTAAATAGTACTGAATGCAAATTGTATAGGGTTGTACCTTCTGAACTGGACAATAGTCTGGTATCTTTTGACTGGTAAGCCACTAATCACCTGGGTCGAATGGTTAGACGTATACAACAGAAGGCTAATCATGGTTGTAAGACTTTGCCGAGGTTGTCTAGTCTCTTGAATGCTTTGTGTTTGATTGCGTATAGCTATTTTGGTAGCTTTGGCAAGGCTTCTTGGCCCTGCAAAGGTGCGCGTAGTCGATGCACCAGGAGCAAACAAGGCTGGAGCTGGCATTGAGGTAGCCTGAGGATGTTTGGTCTGAGGTTGAATGGGTTGTGGCGGGGAGCTTGTCAAGTCGATTGCATTTTTAGCATTATTGCTTGCAGATGCAGGAGGTTTGGGAAGCCTAAGTTGGCATTGTGCGCAAAAGTTCTAGTCTGGATGGTTGCGTATGGTCTTGTAGTGCGAGGCACTATCCACAGGGCAAAACTGATCAGTCATGTTTAACGTTGATCGAAATGGATGCAAGGTGGGACGAGAAAAAACGGACTTCTGCGCAGATAATTTAAAAATATGTGTGTACCCTATCGTACTACATAGATCAATGCAATTACCTCTATGCATAATACAAGTCGAATTGGTTTAACCTATATACGCCTTGACCTACGTAGGGTAAGTGTAACAACCAAAAGCGGTTATGAGACAGTTCCCCTTATGGCCCACCGTAGTTTCCTCCTTTCTTCGACTAGAACTCCACCGAGGCACTTGGCAAATTTGCACGCTATCTGCTTCTAGCACACCGCCAATCCTGCTAGTAATTACTAACGGCATCGGAAATATTGACGATATTAACGCTACTCACACATAGCCTCTGGGTAATCTGGGTCAATCATGGCTCTTGGCTTGGGGCGGATCTATTTCTTCGACTCTCACATTGACTTCAGGCCTAGCCCCCTCCCACATTTCCCTCTTCCTCGCTCACTTGATCCGGCTCTCCGTCAGCGATTGGAGTAGTGGGTATAATTGAGGGAAACCATCCGCCATGCATTGGACATGGCCATGTGCCGTCACCCTGGTGGATAAGGCGGGGGTTTCCTCGTCCCCCCCGGCCATGTCTACGTCTGGGCAGCCATTTGGAATGGCGGGGCCGATGCAAGCTGCGCTGCCCATTAAGAGCCGCCAAACCCCAGCGCATGGTTGCCCAGCATCAGCTCTGACGCGGAAGACACAGGATGTGCAACCGTTGTACATACATGGCACGGCAATGAACTCCCCAGGGGTCGGGGTGCTGCCATGGTTCATCAGGGCTGGAAACGGATCATGTCAGTGATGATACCAACAGTCCTGCCGATACCGATGGTGCCGCCGATACATCTAATATTGTTGCCGACACACTTTGTACACCTGGCACGGACAATACTGCCGATGCTGGCTGTGGGGGCTAACCCGCCTGCGTTCTGCCACGCTGAAGCACAAGCCGTCACCAACCCAGAGCCCGAATAATTAGCCCACCACAAAGAACACTCCTCAATTACCATCCCAAAGCCAGTCCTGACTTGGTAATACTCTTTTCACTACCTAAATCAATTGTGCGCAAATGGTGTTACTTTCATCGCGATTGGGCTTCTTTCCATCGAGAAAGCTACCGCTACCTCAACTTCACGACAACGCGTTGGACGAAAATGAAAACACCATCAATTGATTCCCTTTAATTGGTTTACCTCATTTCTTTCAATTTCTTCTGGTCTTCTCCTCAATTCCGTCGAGAACAATTGGCTGTGCTGAAATTGCGTGGTTAGGATGGAATTGCGCCAACCCTACCCAGCCGGGGTTCTTGGGACTGATAATTTGTGTGCACTGGGCCTTGGGAATGTGCAAAACGGCTGGGTGTCACGGGCTCTGGACCGGGAACTGCCAACCTCGACTGCATCTTCCGGCGAGCCTCCGCCGGACCCGGACCCGGCATCGCGGATATTGCGGGTCCCACAGCGCCGAGAGCGGCCTACCGATATTGCTGCCAGTATGTGGGGTCGCGGTGGACGTCGCTACCTACGTAATGGACAAGTGTATTGTAATATACATGCAAGGATCGTGATTTGCGATCCTTACCCGCATGCGTGGGAGAGATGCTGCAAGAGGGCACGGCGCTGAGGGTATAGAGAAACCGGCTTTCAAGAGAGATAGGCTGGCATTTATACAATACCAGTTCCCACCCTGTCGATGAGCTTCTCACGGCTGTTTCGCTGCCTCGCACCAAGCGAGCCGAAATACTTACGCCAAGCCAAAATGCTTCCGTCGTACGGTTACCCAGCACAGACGCGTGTCAACAGCCCAGCTGTCCTTCACCACGTGCTTCTTAGTTGCTGTGGGAGAATCGCAGGCAAAGCAGAGAGTTTCCTGCGCAGATCAAGAACGGAAATAAAATAACCTCCGGCCCGCTACGCTAAGGTTTTGCTGCGCAGGCATGAGTGCAGTGCGCGGTTTTGCGGGGAAATCCAGACGGCATTGTTGGCGATTGGCGAACCGAATATGCAAGCCGAGGCAAGCACCAATCTTTGGCTAGAAAATTAACTCAAAACCACTCATCGCATCATCGACAAGGGCCTTTTTAATTTCCATTCTCTTTTGGGTTGTGGGGACCTGTTGGCCGCCTTTTCAACACGGGAATATATGTTTTATACATGGAACTTGGCCTGGCATTGCCTGCCTTCATTCTCTCCATTGTACGTTGCCTCTGTCACTCGTCACCATGAAGGTTCCTTCGCTTCACTGGTCAGCATGGCTGCTGGCCACATCCGTGCTTGCGGGAGCGCCATTCCAGGGCAAACTCAACGGCTTTCCCGTGAATCCCTACGACCCATTCTGTGCCATGTCCTGCTTGCGGTCTTTGTCCAGCTTGATGCTCTCCTGCTCCAGCATGGGCGATACGGTTGGAATGATGACCATGTCGACAAGCTCAGCGTGTTGGGCAGAGAGTACGCCTTATCTGACCAGCCTTGCCTGGTGCATGCATACCAAATGTTCCGAATACAACATTACGAATTCGAAACTCGAGTATTTTTGGGAAACTCAAACCACTGGCCAATCCAACGCCGGGGAGATAGGTGTTCCACCGAAGTGGTCCTACTCCGAGGCGCTCGCAAGCGTCTCTAGTCTGCCAACAGTTCAACTCACTCCAAGCGACAAATGGCTCAACACCACGTCCCTAGTCTCGCCGCTTGTCTATCAAGAGCAATGGAATGTCTTGACAAGTGTGCAGCGCGAAACGGCACATGAGAATGCTTACGGGTAAGATCCTGCCACCCCTTCTGGCTGCTCCTAATTAGTCTCCAGTATGGTCCCAAATTTCTCACTTCTGCGCAATGTAGTATCGCAATGCTCGTCACTGGTTTCGGAACACCTATAGTACTTACGTGGATCGGATACCTGCCGTTCCTCGCCACCCTCTTCAGGAAGCTCAAGCCTCGTCTCGTCTGGCCGAGCCTCGTCGGCACGTACCAAGTCCGCCCGCTTCCTTTCCTGCTTGGCAATGCGCCTACTGTGGGCCAAACATTCTACATCGTAATGTTTCTCATTCTCAACATTGTCCTGACTGCGGTCAATTTCCAGTCTCGGCAGCCCAATGCGTGGTACTCGAGCACATGGACCGAGATCATGGCCTACGTCCTCTACCGGACGGGGGCCTTTGCCTACATCATCGCCCCTCTCATTTGGCTCTTCGCCGGAAGGAACAACATTCTACTCTGGACAACGAACTGGTCGCATTCAACATTCCTCGTGCTGCATCGCTGGGTCGCCCGTATTTTTACGTTACAGGTGCTCCTTCACTCCGTTCTTGCCGTGATCCTGTATAAGGCTGAAGGGACGTATGCCGAGGAAGTTAAAGCGCCATACTGGATCTGGGGCATCGTCGCTACTCTCTGCTGCGTCGTTCTTACGTTTGGTAGCGGTCTCCACGTGCGTAAGTACGCATACGAGTTCTTCTTGCTCGAGCATATTGTATTTTCCCTCATTCTCATTGTCGGCTGCTGGTACCACGCCTATGATTTATACAAGTACCTTGGCGGATACGAGGACTGGATGATCGCCGTCTCGGCACTCTGGATGTTTGACCGCCTGGGGCGTGTTTTGCGCATAGCCATCGCCGGCCCGCGTCGAGCCAGAGTCACGGTACTCAGCGAAGACTACGTCCGCGTCGACGTCCCCGGCATCCGCTGGGGCTCCGAGCCCGGCAAGCACGTCTATCTCTACTTCCCTACGCTCCATCCACTGCGGCCGTGGGAGAACCATCCGTTTTCTGTCCTGCAGACAGCTCTGCTGCGGCAGCAGTCCCACTCGCACCTCGGCTCCGACTCCATCAGCCAGAACTCGGCGAACCGGCCAGACGATCACCACGACATAGAGAAGACTACAGCCAAGGCGGTTACGGCTGTGCCGCACCACGCCCGTCCCGACATGGGTCTGACGCTCTATATTCGCAGGTCGGCCGGCGCGACCAAGCACCTGGCCGCACATGACAGCCTCTTCACGCTCGTCGAGGGCCCGTACCCGAATAACCCCACTCGCGAGGTCCTCCGCTGCGACCGCCTGCTGCTCGTGTGCGGCGGCATCGGTATCACGGGAGTTTTGCCCTTCGTCAACACTCACTGGAACGTCAAGCTAGCCTGGAGTGTTAGGGAGTCGGCCCGCTGCCTGGTCGAGGACTTGGACGGCGCGCTGAGCGCTGTTGCGGACAAAGAGGTTAGGGTTGGGAGCAGACTGGACGTCGGGCAGCTACTGCAGGAGGAGATGGAGGCTGGCTGGGAGAGAGTCGGTGTTGTTGTCTGCGGGCCTGGTGGGCTTTGCGACGATGTCAGGGCGGCTGTTGTGGCGGCTGGCAAGCTTGGAAAGACGGAGTTTGAGCTTGAGGTGGAGGCGTACTCGTGGTAAGCATTTCCTTTTAAAATGACGTATAGGAGACAAGAGGTTTGTAGCATCTACTATTTGTCAGGAGAAGAAAAGCAGAGTACCAATTCTAAGATCTACCATCCTGTGCCTACCTTGGCAGTCCTTTAACTTTTTCTGTGTTACCCTATATTTTGGTACAGTGGCGTGGCTATGTAGTTGCAAGACAACATAACCTCTTGCTTAACCGTGTTAGTTAGCATCTGCATCCAACAGAAACCTCTAACTCCAATGCACTTCCGCATAGTCTTAAGGTTTCCGCATACCCTCCTCAAAGGCTGTCTCTCGTCTCTCAGATTAGAGCTCCCGATGATTAAGATAGAACCTTGTTTACTTGGCTGCCTACACTGCCTTGCCTACGCTGTTCTCTGTAATTGCAGCCTAGTAATAAGACTTGTGCATGCAGCCCTTTGGTGTCCTTAAGCTTATAGAGCCGCCCCAGTAGTTTTGCCTTGGCCAGCATGACTGCCAAACCATTGGAGTAGTTGTTAAGCTCTACCTCCAAAACTCCAATATGGCCAATATTAGTGATTTTAGGTATGTTGACTCATGCTACTAGGCAATTAGTTCTCAGCCTTCGGTACATTCTACAATTAATTACTCTCTTTATGAAGTGCTTATACTAAGACAATCTCCACCGTCTCCGTCTCTGGAAACTGTGGACGGTGGCTATTATTCGGGTTCCCACCCGTGGGACACGCCGTCCCAACCCTCACAAACGCATCTCCCTCCTTGGCTTTCGTTACCAGCACTCCAGCCTGGTCCACATCCAACTTCACCCACCAGAGCTCTGTTGCGTCCCATTCTCTTTCGTCCGGCATGTCGATAACGCACTGGCCCATCCTCTTTCCCTCCGGGGTATGCACCTCCAGTTGCCTGTCCATGATCCTCCTATCTCTCCACTTCTCCCTCCGGAGCCAGACTTTGGGATTTGTGAAACTTTTGTTCTGGAATGGGCGCAAGACCACCTTCCACAGCCGCGTCGACAGCTTCAAATACCCGCCGCTAACCTCGCCGTATGGATTTTGCCCGACTGTTTGGATCTTGGCCTCCAGGAGATGAACATCGTCCGCAGGGGGCGCGACGTCGCCATGTGCTTTTTCCAGCTCCGAGGGATGGAGGTCCATGCGGACGGGGCCCTCGATGCTCGCCCACGACCAAGAGGGGGCCCGGTATGTTGCAGGTCGCCGCCATTCGGCGTCCTTTCCTGCGAACACAATGTCCACCCCCCACTGGAGGTCGTGCCAGATGTCCTGCCGCCATAGCCCTGCCAAGTATTCGTCGCCCGTCTCCAGCTGGAGCTCCTTCACGATGCCGGAGAGGGCTGGAAGCCTGTCGCTCTCCTGCGTCAACTTGCGTTTGGTAAAAGCGTTCACCGTCGACGCCCAGCGACCAAAGGACCGCTCGCGCTCCCGCAAGTAGTGGTACAAGGTGAAGGGGAGGCCGAGATGCTCGAGTGGATTCTCAGCTGGTTTATGGATCAGGCGAGGCGCCAGGAGGGGAGGACTGGGATCCTCGTAGTGTTCCACGACGTGGCCGTGCTCGACGTCGGTGACACTGTCGCACAGCCAGCCTAGCATCTCCTTGCCGTACACTAGCACGCGCGGAGAGAGCGCCATGTCCTGAAAACACCACGCCCTGACGTCCGTAGACTGTGGTTCTTGGAATGGCGTGTTCTTTTGTCTGTAGTCGACATAGATGGCCTCGAAAGTTGGAGTCATAGCACCTCACCTCGACCGGCGGGCCCGGTGGGAGAGTCCGCGGCCGGAAGATGCCTTGCTTGCTGTCTTCCGAGGCTCCGGAGCTGATGGTGAGGAACGCGTTGCCGTACACGCTGCCCATCTTCGCTGCCTCCTTTTCCCAGTCTTCCTTGGAGTCTTGCAATATGCAGAGCGAGTCTATCCATAAATATTCGATTCCGAGCTCCCTTGTGATGATTACCGCATCTTGGAAAGTTCGCGGCATATCCTTCAAGGGTATTCCCTTCACACGGTCCGGTAGAGTCACTGTGGTCGTCACCAGGGGTCGAGTTCTACCCCAACAATGGCTCAAAGCAATGTAGAACCCACGAGAATCCGGGCCCGCGATGCAGAGCTGCGGAGGATTGCTGTCCACGGAGATGTACCTCGTGGGGAGAAGGGGCGGCGGCTCAGAGGGCATTTCGACGTTGGAGTGCCACAGCAAGTTGTCTCGTAACTCGAGCAAATCCTCGCTGCGGTGATATAGCTGATAATAGCCGTCATCGAGCAAGCCGTCGCTCCCGCGCTTAAGGGTGTGTTCCTTGTTGCAGAGGATTCCTTTACTCAGGGGGGATCGTTTCTTCAGCGAGCTAGTATTTGTTAACTGCTCTGCGGCAACTTCCTCGAGACGCTTTAGATTTGACCCTTTGACGACTGGGTCTGGTCCAAAACGTGTTAAAGGGGTATCAAAATCCTCCGAGTGTGACGCCCGCATGGGAGAACTGGCTCTGGCACGCTTTAGAGGTCTGTCCGACGAAATCTCCGAAGATGAGGTGCCGAAGTCGGTTTCCAGACCAACTATTGGCTCAGTAGCGTCTGGAACCGTCTCGACGAGGGGTTCCACCACGGGAGGATCGTACGGGAGCTCAGATTTGGAAGAGCTTGACAGGTAACTCGGGGACCGGGCCCACGTTTCAGGTTCATCTGTCCAGCTGTATGGACACACAACTCGCTTGCAGTGTTTGTGCTCCGCCAAGCAAACCCTGATCCAGTGAGCAATGAGCTTGTAGCATGCAGCCGAGTTCGCTTGTGACGAGACGCGCCGCCCTGCGTAGGGATCCCCGTTAAAGATATCAATGCCTAGACGCATAATGAGCCTTCGTTAGTTCTCAGGGCTACCACGAGATATGACTTTTGCCCTTACGAGGTTCCCGGTAGACCGAGGCGCTCCCACGTTCCACCAATCTCAGTCCCAGCTGAAACTCCTCAGGCTGGAGTGAGCAGATGAGAAGCGTGGCCGGCGCCTTTGCCGTTCGCAACTCGTACAACTCTTGGGTATGACCAAGCAGGCGTTTCTCACTTTGGTCGCGCCCTGCGTTGGAGAGGTCTCTCAGCTTTTTGAGTGTTCTCTTTTTGTTTTCGAAAACCATGCCATCGACTGCCAGTCGGACTGGATAGTCCATGAACAGGATATCGTCATCCTCTTCGTCGTCTCCCTCCTCCTCTCTATGCTTGGCTTCTTGTGTGCGATGAAAGTCAACTTCTCTCCAGAGAATGCAGCACAGAGAGCACAGGCCGTCCTCCGCAGATGCTTGGAGAGCGTGGAAAGATGGCATGTGCTCGTAGCCCTGAGAGCGGTTCAGGGACTTGAGGGCGATGTTGTCGCATATAGTACAGAGCATGGCACCCGATACAGATGGGGTGACAAGGGGGGGGCAGAGTTTTCCTGCCCTTGCTTTTCATCTATCGTGTGCACGGGCTACCACCCCACAACCACCGCAACTTTGTGGAAGAGATACCTCATTCACCGCCTTCAGACACACTGCATTCGAACTACACATAATATTACAATGTTTCCTATATAGAATGTAAACTTTCATCTAGGTGTCTCTATTGTCTTGGTCAAAGTCTCCTCCTTGCGTTAGTAACTGGGGTTTCGCCTATCTTAGGATGTGTTTAGGCGATGCCCACTAAGACTGCTAGCGACGGTTGATAGGTTAGGGGTTGAAGGCAGTCTAAAATGTTTGCCTTCTCGCCTTACACCTCATTTTAAACCCTAGATAGGGGGAAGTATAGTTAACGAGGAAGAGTGGGGAGAGGGTATGGCGGCTTAATTCATACTACTGTATAGGTAGGTATAAGAGGATCATCTGGCGTGCTTCTACCAGTCGGCCCTATGAGAACAACCACCTATCTACATGTCAAAAGGCCAAATCGCGGGCGGGGGCGGGAACAGCCAACATCACTAGCATCTTCCGGGAAGCCTCCGCCGGACCCGGTATGGCGGACATTACGGGTCCCACACGGGGCCGAGAGGGCTTCCGACACTTCCGGCACACGGGGTCGTAGCAGCCGTTGCTCTCGCCGAGCGCCATGTCGCGCGCTGCGATGGTAGGCGTGACACGGCGTAGGAACTCCGCACGCCTGTGTGGTCTCAGCGGGACGCTCATGCACCAGTGCTTGTCAACACTTTATCCCTCAAACTTGGCAAAAACGCAGCCTTCGTTGTCTTTGACAACGCCGACGTGCCGGCGCCAGTGCTGTGGCCAATGGCCTCCGCTTTCCAGGCTTTGGATTGGGTAAACTGTAGACATGGGCCCGGGGGGGGAATGACTGGACCTAATGGTTTGGAAGCTCTGTCAGGTGAAAAGTGGAGGCACTCGAGGTGCGCCACTGTGTAATTTACTAAATACTTCACCGATAACCTGGTCATCTAAGCATTTGAGACAGACTGTTTCATCTAGATTTTGGTGCAGGAAATCCATATGCGCGACACGGTTTTGTTACAGAAGGGAGTAATTTAGCAGGGAGGGAGTACTTGGAGGGAGTACTTGGAGGGAGTATTCCAGAGAGCCGTGAGGGCTGCACTGATGGCGCGAAAACAGCCTGCCTGCTCGGATTATCTGCCATTGCCAGCCTCCATAGTTCAATGTCTTAGACAGCGCGAAGGAGCCTATCATGTAAGGCATTATTGACTCCCAGACTAGGAGATGAACGGTCTTTGCCGTCATGCACTAGCTAACACACATCGCGTTGTCTTACGGTAAAGTCGCGTCCTGGATGTTGGGTTATTGCTAGAGTTTGGCGAACCAGCCGAGTTGGTAGCTGGGGTTACGCTACTTGCAGAGCTATATGACAGGCTGCATGTGAAAAGATGTGAGAATCTTGTTTGTTAGCTATTTACTGTCTACATGTTTGAACACACTGATCCTGACTTTCAGCCTCTTGAGCTAGCTTGGCGTCATAGCACTTGGCTTTTGTTTTGGTTGCCGCTAGCACCTGAGTCGGTAATGGAAAGCAGCACCTTGTGGTTGCATATAGATGCCTTGGCCAAACTGCAGTTAATGTTCACCTTAGCAAGGGGGCATGGCACATGCCGGGGGCTAGGAGCAGAGCAGAGCAGAACCTACTGGTAGTATATGTATATCGTGCTAGTGAACGGGATGAGCGACTTGTGAATACCAAAGATGTGCGTTGGGATATGGAACTTTGCGATAGTTTTCTCATACCACAGATCCAAATTGGGGGAACATGCCTCTAGCTTTTGCCAATTCTGCCAAGAATCACCACCACCTGATTTCGATATCGCACCACCCATAGGTTAAAGGGTATCCAGGACGTCGTTTAGAGCAACGGCAGGTTCGCAGAGAGAGAGACTGCCAGCTGCACGAGGGCCTGTTTCGTGGCCGGGTTATAGATCATCGAGTCCCGGATCTCGTCCTGAAAGTCGCTTTCGCCGAGGTCCGACTGGGTGAAGTCGAAGTCCATGGGCTGGATGTGCAGCAGCTTCCGCAATCCCAGGGCCAGGAACCTGTCACGTAGAATGCAACACCACCACAGACGCTTCAGCGCGTTTTTGTTTTCCTGCGAGACGTTGTCTTTGGCGGGTTACTGATCGGAACAGGGTTGATGCAGCAACACCCTGCAGGTGAGGTCAGCCTTAGAACGTAGGGCGCACACCCTTTCCATGGAGATCTTCGCCCGCTTACAGGGCAGGATATGAAGAGCATGGCTTGGAATAGAAAGAGGGACATGCGTCTTTGTGGTGGTGAAGGTGGAACTGGGAACAAATACACCGTCTAGAAATTGAGTTTGTTTAACGACGGGATGATGAGGTGGATGTGACGGAATTATTGTCGCATGATCTTGTCCCGGGCAGATGATTATTTGTTAGTTAGATGCAATGTGCACAAAGAAGCTGGCAACAAGAGCAAGAGTTTGAGGGTAGGGAGGCAACACTCACTAGACACGGTGCGGTGCCACTTATGGGGTGTTCTTCCTCCTCCAAGATCGCCATGGCTGGGCATGCTTCATGAGTCGAGAGTCTAAGGGTTCATCGAGCCCGTTCACCGACCCCTTGTCTGTCAAAGAGGCGAGGAAATCCTCCAGTGGGTCCAGATTGTCCTCTAGACCCGACGGAAGCGGCCATGCTGAATCGGGGGTTGGCGTGGCGGGGAAAACAGAGCCATGCACTTCCTGCTGCTGTTGTTGTTGGGTCCACGGCTAGACAGGTTGCCTGCAGAGAAACGTCAGGTTAGATTAGCTACTAGAGCGACCTTCTCAAACGCGTCAATGCCACGACCGTGGCGAGATGAAGGCCCAATCGATTAAATCCCATTTGCGGGCCCTCGGCTTGACGACGCACTCCTGCACGTCCAGCCGGCAATTGGTGCACGGCGGGCTGTGAAGAGCGACATCGCAGCGGACCTTGCGCATCCTGTACGCAAGGCATGCACACCGGGCCCGCCTCTTGATCGAGCGGTCGGTAGTGCTGGACTCGCCCTGGTCAGGGTCTGTTCGTAACTACGATGCAGCAGCCTGGGGCATGGGGCATCCTTTATCCGTCATAACAAAGGCCCGTTTCTGTTTCTAGCGGTATGGGCACGGGGGGTGGTAGGTACAGAGTGCTAAGACGTGATTGTTGGGCGCGGTGCGTCGGCCGGGATTGAGAAGTGGGAGAATTAATGAATGGGATGGGGAAATGCTCTGCTAATTTGGCGGAAAACACTGGTGTGTGGAGTACTACAGGTGCGGCTTTGGCCCCGAACTCTGCCCCCCCGCCGAGCCCTCCACCCCAGCTACACATTGGAATGGCCGAGGCAAAGCTCCTCGTCTTCGTGTCCCCCATGCCACTATCATAGCCTGCTCTTCCGGGCAGCCGGCACATTTCCTCCTTCTTCATCTCCGGGGAGGTCCTGAAAACGCTCGAATAGTTTCAGGGCCTCAGGGTTCGCAACAGTCCCACTGACAGTCGCCTTCCGACAGCTGACGACGTGCTTGACATTGATCTCGCACTTCTTTCCGTTCACCGTGTACGGGATGTCGGCGACCTCGAAGACGAACTTGGGCACGTGGCGGGCCGTATACCTGGCCCGGACAGCGGCCTTGAGCCTCCTCCCCAGATCCGCCGTGTACGCCGCTCCGGGCCTCATCTTGACGAAGAGCAGAACCCTCTCGTCCGTGTCCAAGTCCCGCTTTTGGCCCACGCAGATGCTGTCGGCGATCTCGGGAAAGGTCTCGGTGACTGCGTAGATCTCGGCGGATCCGAACCGGACTCCCGATGGGTTGAGGACTCCATCCCTGTATCGGTGTCGTCAGATGAGGAGACTCTTCTAGAAGCAGCGGCAGCAGCTACCGCGGTACTTAGGAGGTGGGGAAACAGCGACTCACGATCTGCCCAACATAACGAGTCCGCCCGTGTCGGGGAGACGCTGTATATAGTCTCCCTGGCACCAGATGGAGGGCCCGTAGCGGTCAAAGTACGAGGATTTGTATTTCTCCCACCCACCCGGCCCGTGGAACCCAAGAGGCTGGCTAGGGAAGGGCTTCGTGCAGACCAGCTCTCCAGCCTCACCCGACAGCTCCACAGAGACGGGGTCCGTCCGCGCCGAGTCCAATACGTCCACCGCCATGCCGAGGGCCTTGGCCTGGATCTCCCCCGAGTATACCGGCAGGAGCGGCGTGCCCATCACGACTGGAAGAGTAGTTGGCCAATCACGAGTCAGTCGGAATCCCCTGATTTGGAAAAAAGCGCGCCCGGAGAGCACATACAGCAACCCGAAATGTCCGTTCCTCCGCTCATGGAGATCAGCTGGGCCTGCGGCGGGAAGGCTGTGGAATAAAACCAGCGGTAGAGGTCGGCTGATAGCACGGATCCTGTCGATGTCATCACCCTAAGCCTGCTCAAATCAAATTGTTCTCCTGGAAGGAAACAAAACCCCGTCAGTATATGGACTAATTAATTCTCCCTCCAAAAAGGTTTTAGGCGTCGAAGCGTCTACTTACGCGGCACAATTCCGTAGCTTCTGAGATCAGCGAGGTACCTTGGGGACGTTCCGAATATGCTGACTCTATAATGAATGTGTAAGCCACCAGGATCTTCCACTCCATTTTATTTTTGAGGCTTCGGGAGAAGGCGCTCGGAGACTGGTCTCATACCCGACGGCTTGTGTCAGCTGTAGTAATACCGTAGGGGAAGGGTGGTACGGAGAGCCATCGTATAGAAGCATCGACCTCCCGGATGACAGGTTGACAAAGTTCAGGACCCACATCACCCAAGATGTCTGTTTCTAAGGCGTTAGCTCCTGTATAGGATGGGTTACCTAGGTAGGAGGGTGAGGCAAAGTAGTAAGGGCTACGGGACTCTGCATACCGTAGTGTACTGGAATATTACGTCGTCCTTGCGGATGTCGTGTTGTAGAATCATGTCAGTCTTCACTTTCAAAGCAACACCCTGGAGATAGCCGTTGGTCAGTCCGTCGACTCAAAGAGCCTTGTGTATCTCGGGGAGGAGCTCACGCCTGCAGAGTGGACAATGCATTTTGGTTTCCCTGTCTATTATTCATGGCAACGATTCCAATTATTAGTGACTGGTCTGGAATAGAATGATGCGACTTGATTATACTCATGAGCTGCGTAGACTTACCGTCCCTGACGAGTAGAGGATAAAAGCCGGGTGAGAAAACGGGAGGATATTGAAACTCAGCTTCCGGCCTGAGTCACGGCGGATAAAGGACTGATAGGTGCATCCGCGATGTATCTTGGCCACGTTTGGGTTGAGGTTGCAGTACGGAAGAATCACGATGTCCCTTAACTGCTCATCGCTCCGACCGAGTGCCTGCGACCATTCCACTATGCGGGCCTCGAGCTTTATGAGCTTTCCGGCGTACATGTAGCCGTCGTCGGCGAAGATAATCCTAGGGTCGACCTGTCCGTAGCGGTGAACAATGGCATCGGGCCCAAGATCGGGCGACGAAGACGACCAGGCGGCCCCGATTGCCAGAGAGGCAAGGCAAAGGACCATTGCGTCCACCGAATTCGATATCACGGCCCCCACGACGTCGCCGGCCACGACGCCCGAGTTGACCAGGGCGTCGCGGGTTTTCCGCACACGGTCCCGGAGATCCCACCAGGTGACCTGCTCAACACCGGGGACGCCTTCGCGGGCGAAGTGGATTGCCACGTCGTCATCCTTGCCGTTTCGTAGAAGAAACTCGGCGACGTTTAGGGATTCCCCCGGGAACAATTTCGGAGGAGGGAAGAGAGGCACCGAAGCCGTGTCCTAATAGCCCGAAAACCAATGTCAGAATCAGTAATTAGCTGCATGAAAGGCGGCAAGCTGCTGGCAGCTTTGCCCAATAGAAAGTTACTCACCTCGCTTTCCAGCATGCGACTGGCTTCTGGTGATCCCGCCGGAGCAAGTCCAAGCCATGTGTATGCATCTCCCCAAAAGTCCTGCAGCGTTGCAGCATCGACCGACCATTGATAGAGCTCGTCATACGTCTGTATTTGGAGGTTATGTTTTGCATTGACATACTCGATAAACTTGGCGGTGTTGGTTTCGCCAGTATGACGAGGCTCCCACAGGGGGGTTTTGTGCTGATTAGCGCTCATGGCTAGTGATGGCGGACTACCATCAGTCCCAGTTGATAGTACCTTAGTAGTAGTAGTAGTAGTAGTAGTAGTAGTACAAAGGTATGCGCCGGACCCGTCAGCCTTCACCTGCTAAAGTTCGTTTCTTTTTGTACCCGTCCCCTCCTTGGCTTGCTTAGCGGTCAAGATAACCCCCCTCCTTGGCTTGCTTAGCGGTCAAGATAGCCGACTACTAGGACCGAGCTTACCGATTTCACCGATTTGACCGATTTCGCCGATTTCGCCTTGGCACTCTAGGCGCGCCACAACCAACTCAAGCGGGGTCGGCTTTGATTCCCACGTGCCACCGGACTACGAAGTAGGCACATCAGTACACTACGACCCCTGCAGATGGCGGCTACTACATCCTTCCCCGGTGATTGCAACTAGCCTGTACATACATATGTATGTGTTGGCAGAAGCCAAGCTCGAGCTTCCCCGCACGCCCCATATTAGGAATGACAGGATTGATAAGCTAATTATAGAATAAAGCGTACAGAAAAGAAGGGAAAGCGAAAGAGGGACCCCGGAGAAGGAAGTTGTTGTTAAGTACCCCAGATTCGCTCTATCCCCTAGTCGATCGATCGTCAGATATTGTAATGGCTAGTTTCAGTTCCGCCATCAAACTATACACACATAACTTGAAAATTAGGCAAAATATCTCAAACCTTTGTAAAATTCAGCCCTTCGCCGACCACCTTGTATTGTTGATCTTTGTCTAACAGTAGTTGCGCCGCTTTCTACTCCTTTACCATCAGATTGGCTCGTTGTTTCGAACGGGGCGTGATGGAGGCCTGGTACGGTTCTGGCATACAAACAACTGCCTGTGTATACCTCTCGGAATCCGGGATGATGGCTTGTTTTGTGACCAGGTTGATCTTGGGCTTGATGTCGAAGTTCCAGAGAATCCTGGCGATGCCGAGGAAAAGCGATTGCTCGGCAACATGAATGCCGGCACACAGACGTCGACCGGCGCTCAAGGTGAAGTTGTCCCTCCCGGCCGCATTCGCGCTCTGGGCGGACTCGAAAGCGCTCTTGTTGTCTCCCCAGTATCGTTCCGGCTTGAACTCCCTCGGGTTGCCATGGCGTTTTGGATCGTGACGGATTGCGTAGACGTTGTTGACCAGCAAGACCCCCTTTGGGATGACGACGCCCTGGCACTTGATGTCTTCCTTGGCCGCGTGGGACGCCGCTCCCATGATCGCTGTTGGAATCCACCGCAGGCTTTCCTTGACGCAGCAGCGAATATAGGGCAGGGCTTGGGGGTCTTCGATGGTCGGGGCACGGTCAGGAACGACCCGATCGAGCTCTGCCTGGGCCTTCTTCTGCACTTCTTGGAAGAGGACCATTGCCTGCACGAAGCCGCCGAGCTCATTGGCGGTGGTGTCGGTCCCAGCTTCCAAGGCAGCGCCGGCAAGGGTGGCTCCGAATATATCCGTGAACCCTTCTTTCTTCTGCTCAAGTAGAATATCCGCCGCGAAGCAGGGTTGGGCCCTGCCTGCTGCAAGTTTGGCTTTCACCTCATTCCACAGTCGCAGGTACACCTTGTTCTGTTTATCATGCCATCTCGAAGCCTTGTTCATCGTTGGCATCATCCAATGTGGGAGCCGCCTCAGCAGGGGGTAAATGTCGGCCAATGCCGACGTACTCGATTGCATGATCACGCCCATGCTGTCAACCCTAGGTATGTACATGTTAATAGCTCATTCAGTGCGGGGCAACATGTTTTACACGACCGCGACGGTGAAGGGGTAAATTACTGCTCGACAAGTTCGATCATCGTAGGATCATCGTGGGTGGGAGAACGGCGGCTGCAATCAGCACATCAGCATTTCAGCGCATCGCAGAAAAAAAGGGGGTTTGAGAAATACAACGTCGACACACCCGTATATAATGGTACTAAATACCGAGTTGGAGTACCTCTTCAGATGGAAGATGAAATCGTCCGGCTTCTGGAGTAAGTCGAACATCATCTGCTTATTCTCAACCATGGTGTAATTACCTATGTAACTTCGGGCCACTTGGATGTTGAGCATCCTTTGCATCAGCTTCCGCTGCAGACGCCACTTTGGGCCATTGGGCTAAATCGACATGTTAGCGAGGGCAACTCGGACAAACGCACAGCTATCCACCCTTCTAATCCTTTAATTACTCACCATGAGAAGCATGTGTTCTCCGCCCCCCAGGATTTGGTGGCCCACATAGTGGTCCCCCCTCTCGTTAGTCAGAGCCGAGCGCTTGTCCAGTATTTCCTTGACAGCAACGTCGCTGCAGAGGACGACCATGGGCTGGGGACCTAGCATCAAGCTGAAGACTGGACTGTACTTTTTGGACTAAGCCAGATACTGCTTGTGCGCGTCACGAGTAGGCATCTAGAAAACGAAACCATGCATCAGTTGCCGTTTCCTGAGCTGCGCATGCTGTCGGGAAATTCTTGATTAATTACCAGAAGCAAATTCCCTAGAATCGGGACGGTTGGTGGGCCTGATGGACAGTGGGCAGGTCTGCTTCACAAACGTAGGATCCATATTACGAAGAATAACAGAGGGAGCACAGCAAGGTGCCAGAAGTGGAACCCGTCTTTTGGGATCAGGGCCTTTGTGAACTTGATAGGCACTAAAGTGGCAGCGCTTTTCGACATTTTCGCACACGAAGAAGGAAAGGAACTCTGAAGATAGGAAACAAACATGGGGCTAGAGGGTACGGGGTTGACGTCTAAAATAGGTATTTGTATATACCCTAGGGGGTGCAGGCAAGGGGGGAAGGGGGGAAAAGCAAACCTGGGGAATCAAGGTGCGTGGCTCAGCCCCTCGTGTAGTTTGTGGTCAGGAGAAACGGCGATAAGGATAATGATCGTGACCCCGGATCGCCAAGTTGTCATGGAACACTTGCCACTTCAATGTTGGGTATTGATTTAGGTGTCCATTACTGCGCCTACCCGAATTTTGAGGCTTGGGTTGTATGCAGATCTTGTACTAGATCTACCGAAGACGATGTCATCCTCATTACCGGCGTTATCATTGGCTTTCCCCATTGCCTTGGAGAAGTTAAGCGAGACTACCTAATCGCCAAGATTGCCGAGGCCTCTTACCTCCAGCTTCTCCAACAAACTGTGCTCCACAGAATGCCAGCAATTCCAAGCGTGAACCCATTGCTATCACCAAATTCTTTTCTTTCATGTCTATCCTTCATTTATTCGCAGGCCGAAGCCGATTAGTAAAGTCTGACATGGATCGCCAACGATCTACCTGTGTCCCGAGCCCGGCGCTGAACCCGAGCCCCGGCGCTGAACCCGAGCCCGAGCCCGAACCCGAACCCGAGCCCGATTATTTTATTTGGGATGGGGGGTTCCAAAACTGTTTTGGGGGATGCATTTTAACGGAGCCTAATTATTAAGTGTCCTGTCCCCGCGTTCGGCTACCAATCACTGAGTTGGGATTACCAATCCCTTGGCTAAGGCAAGTCTGAGGGGCTGGCCACACGGGGTGGGACCTCCCCCAATATATGAATACCGTAGCTGAGCTGCGTTTCTGCGCAGGTCAGGCTAAAATGGGAGCGAGGACGTTGGTACGAGACTTCTAAGCCTTGACGAAGTTTCGAGGGGAGGAGTGAAGAAGAGTAAAAGAAGACTGGAGCTAGTAACTTAGTAGACCTATAAAAGGTTTACACATAACTATATATCCATATTATTTCCTTCCAACCCTAGGCTTTTGGCCTGCCAAGACCAACTGGCTCTAAGGTTCTCAAAGATGCCGTCACTCTTCCAGAAAACCCTTCACCTGCCACTTGCATACCTGACGCCAGCCACAAAAGTAATGCAGCTTTTCTCCATTCGGTCCCTGGAGAGTCATGTCAGGTTCAACACGGTTGACGGCGCCGAGATCGTCACACTGCCGACAAAAGGGAAAATGAAGTAGCCAAGAATATTATCAGGGAACTTAAAAAAAGCATGTCGTTGAGCCCTCTCGTGCCCAGGTTGCATGTGATATCCGAGGAGGCCAAGATGGCCTAGATGCCTGGTTGAACTCCCACGGGTGTCGTCTTGGGCTCTGGGGCTTTGAAGGAACGAGAAGAATTCTCGCTAACATCCTCCCGAAAATCCTCAAGAGGCCTGGCAAGTGGAAAAGTGAGCGGCAGAAAAAAGAGAACAGGAAGCCAAAAAAAGGGCGGAACTGCGGAAAGAGAGCCGAACGGGCAGAAAAGGCGACAACACGAGCAACGTTATCAGCTGCAAGACCTTAACGTAAGGAAGAGATGGCAGCGAACTAGGTTTTAGGGACGCATGGTTGCTCCTGATGCGGATGAGCATATATCTACTCATAGCGTACTTTGCTAATCAGAGTCCCAATATTGGCAATTTCCACCCTGATGTCGTCGCCTGGTCCCAGGAAAATCTTTGGCTTACGCAGGATACCGACACCAGGTCCCGTCCCAGACATTATTATTGTACCCTTCTCTAGAGTTGTGCCCTGAGACAAGTATGAGATTAATTTGGGAATGTTGAATATCATGTCGCTGGGTAGACACGGTTAGCCGCTAGGCAGTATGAAACAGGGGCAAGAGAGCCAACGTCTCCTATTACCTGGTGTTGAAGTCTTGAACGACGTTGCCGTTGTAGATGGCCTTGACGCGGAGTCTGTGGGGATCTTTGATGGCCTCTTTAGAAACGAGTACTGGCCCTATGGGGGCAGAGGTGTCCAGCCCTAGTGTGCGCCGTAGCAGGGTTTCTCAGCAAAAGTGGACCAAATACGAATCGTCATTCAAGAATAATTGAATAATTCCGCCAGGACTAGCTCACCCTTGGAAAAGGAGACTTGGTTATTCTTGAACTGCTGTTTACGAGCGCTCACATCGTTACTACAGGTATAACCAAGGACATAGTCCATGGCTTCCACCTCGGGAATGTTCCGCCCTGGCTTGCCGAGTACAACGCCGAGTTCGGCTTCGTAGTCACTGGTCTCGTCTTGGACAAATCGGGGAATGATGATGGTATCAGAGGGGGAAGGTCCAATCAGCGCCGTTCGCGCCTTGATGAAAAGCATTGGCTCGTCAGGGATGGCCAAGTTGGCCTCCTGTGCGTGTTCGAAGTAGTTGAGCCCTATGCCGCGGATGAGAGGGACCTCTTCCATGCGCAGTGGAGACAGAAGCTAGGATAGACGATGCTGGGTCAGGAGCGGAGCCATGACTTGACTATTTCGAGTAATACCCTAGGATTTGAAACAATCTCACCTGCGCAATGTGCAAGACATGGCTTGTAACCTGGCCATCGAAGACGGTACCGGTCACGACCTTGACATCCACTTTGTCGCCTTTCTCGACTGCCAAACCGACATCTGGCCACTTTGCCGCGTCGACTTGTCCAAGGTGCGGTTGGCCATCCTCTTGGGCGATGAAGCGGACGGCATGTGTCCACGCGGAGCCAGCCATCCTAGCGAGAGATGGGCTTAAAGAAGAGTGTTGTGATGGATTCCGAAGGCGGAGGGGGCTCAATCAAGGCGGTTAGATGAGTCTCTAGTGCTTCCCGTCCGCTGCTTCTTAAAATAAAATGCTTTCTGGCGACAATTGATTGCTGGGCAGGTCTCCAACGCAGGACAGACAAATGGGGTGCGGCCTATCCGAAGGATCCGAATGCTTTCAAATCATCCGGCTTCGGGCTCGGGCTCGGCGTCGCACTCCCGTGGGTCGCTAACCCTAACCCTAGTTGGGCTGCAAAGTATATAATTACTGTATAGTATGTATTACATATCAGAAGGTGGCTGTCACAAGGCTCATCAGTCCCACCACCACCCGGTCCGGAGGTTTGGGCGAGCTCAGGGATGGAACGAGCCCGGAGCCAACAAGGTGGGGCCGAGCCTGAGGTTGTGCGGACGGGCCACCGCAGTTTGCTGGAGTGAATAAAACGCTTCCTTCAATCTCCGTTGGCCAGCCGTGTCGCGCCAGCCACCACTACGACTCTTTCAACACACTCTTCCGCCGAGTATGGCGCCCTCAACCGACTGTGGTGGTGCTGTGTGGTCCGCGACCGCATTCTCGGTATGGGGAATGCGCCGTGGCATCCAAATTCACACGCAGTCACTTCGACTTCCAAAACATCACCGCGTCCAGGCCTCAGTGACCTTGGCGACGGAGATGGAGCGCAGCAGCACCGTTCATGGCCCGAAGCAAAGCGGTGATTAGCCAAGAACCTCGAATTGCTGGTTGAGCTCTACATGGTGCTCGCCGACATCCTCGCGCTCGTCTTTGCCTGTCGAGATTAATCTCAGATGGCGGGAAGTCGGTGCTGATGATCCAGACAAAGTTCGCCGCTACGAGGGCCTCGACGTCTTGAAAAAGAGCAGTCCCCGCCCGCCAAGCCAGCCGCCAAGCCAGCCGCCAAGCCACCTGTCAAACCACCTGCCAAACCACCTGCGAAGCCACCTAATCAGAACTGCATAGCGAACGCAGTCAATCTCACCAATCTCAGAAACGCCGGCGTTCCCAATCGTGGTCCTAATCGCTGCTTGGGTTAGATCTAGGTTAGATTCTTAGCTGACATAGTTGACATGTGAATTGCCTTAGTTATTGCGGTTAAGTTAGAAAACGGGCAGGGGATTTGTGGGGACTGTCCTCCCCGCATTTCTTCCCCACCCCTCCCGTTTCTCAGCCCTCCCTTAATGGCCAGAACCGAGCTTAGTGTGCCTCGACCCCTCCTCCCCTCCAGCCGGCGTTTGCCGTTCCAGCGGGTTCTACTCTGCTCCGCCGCGACGCTTACGTTCACCACACAACTCATTGGCCTCCCTCTCTGTCTTGCACATAAAGCACGCGCGGCCTTTTCATGCCGCGGCGGTGACAGACCATGGCATGCGCGACCTGTCGAGCACGCAAAATTAAGTGCGATCGATCATTGCCGACCTGCCAGAACTGCAGACTACAATCAAGGCAGTGCGACTATGCTGGCGAGCGGCGGAAGCGTCGCTGGACGACCAGCGGGATCGACACTCGGCGGGGCTCTGCTGCTTCCGACAAGACACTCTCAGGCTGTGTAGTAGGGTCGCAACAATGCCGAAGGCCGAATGCGCGAGGCATGCCGACGCTGCCGGAGGACGTCGACAATTGGCAGGATGGACGGCGAGGACAGTATGTTTCTATCGACGAAGACGACCCCGGAAACGCTGTATCCTACGGCAGCAGCAGTCTCGGTACTGAAGGAGACCTCGCAGACCGGCTTGACAAATCACCCGGCAATGCCGACAACGCCCATTTGAACGGATTGACGACGATGGCGACGGCGAATGATGACGTCGAAGAACCGCTTTTGGACAGGATACTTGGTGGATTCGATATTGGCTGCCTCAAAGACCGGCACCCGGCCGTGTGGATGAGGGCCGGCGGCGGGGACGAGTATACCGGGCCCTCGTCCGGCATCTCATCCATCTCCGACCTGGGACTGAAATGGATACGGGACCATGTCCAGGGTTCGGACACCCTCTGCAGCACAATCCTGGACATACGAGACAGCGTGCTCAGCCATCTCCGTCAGCCAAAGTGTGTACCGCGGGGACCATGCTCGTCGCCGGGCACGCCCCCTGGCTTGAAGCCCATCCTGGCCTCGGACGTCGCCAAGTACGTGGACGCCTACTTTTCGACCGTGCAGACCATCTTTCCGATACTGGACCGAGCCGAGTTCGAGGCTCAACTCGCGACACACGGAATAGATGCGCCCGCGGCCATGTACTCGTGGAAGGCCTTGCTGAACGCAGTGCTAGCTTCGGGATGCCGAGCCGCGCTCTCCGACGAGACGGCCGAGGCATTCCAGGCGTCCGGACGCGAGGCCTGGGACTACTTCCAAAACGCGCTGTACTACGAGGCCAAGATCAACCACGGCGCGACGGATCTGTCCGCGGTCAAGGCGCTGGCCGTCATGACGGTCTTTGCCCAGGGAATATCGAGCCCCCAGCGGCTCGAGTACACGCTGTCTTCGGCGGCGTCGCGGCTTGCCCAGAGCATTGCGCTCAACCACCGTCCTCCGCGGGCGTGGAGCCTGACAGAGAGCGAGCAGCGAGAGCGAAACCGCCTCTTTTGGTCTCTCTACTGCCTCGACAAGACGATAGCTCTCCGCTGCGGCCGACCCGCGATAATCCACGACCAGGACATCAGCTGCTGCTTCCCCCATGGCATACAAGTGTCCCAAGGTCAAGATTTGGGCATAGGCCTGGGCCAGGGCCAGGGCCAGGGCCAGGGCCAACAACAACAACAACAACAACAACACTTTGACTTTTTCCTGTGCCTCACCAAGCTCGCCCGCATCTGTGGAAACATCTCGCAGCGGCTGTATTCGGCGTCGGCGCTATGTTCACCGTCTCCCGCGCTCCATGCCACAGCAGTCCAGACGTTGCAAGACCTGGAGACGTGGCGGCAGAGCATCCCGCCCGAGATGCAGCCGGGCAAGCCTTTTGGACGGATATGCGGCGCCTCCGGTCCGGCCCGGACGCAGCTTCTTGTCCTGCATTCTTCCTATCACTACGCATTGTGCGCCATTTATCGGCGGTTCTCCCCCATCTTCACCCAGGACGACGTGGAAGCACGCCGTTTCAATCCCCAGACGACGCACGCAAGCCACATCGAAGCCGCGAGATCCATGGTTCTGCTCACAAAGTATCTCGATATAGAGAGCTTTACCCCCGGATGGTAAGCACAGAAAAACAAACAAACCCCGTTGCATTCTGTCCCAACTCGACTACCCTGTTTAGATTACGGATTTGACTAACTCTTTCCCTCCCCCCCCCCAGGCTTGTGTTCTACTACCCCATGACCGCACTCACCACCATCTTCATGCACGTCGTCTGCAGGCGTCCCGACGAGACCACCACGCAAAACGACATTGCGCTCATGGAGGTCATCGTGGGGTTCTTTGGGCGCCTGGAATACGTCACCTCGGGCGAGGCCGCCTTTACGAAAACCACCGAATTCGTCCGCCAGGCACGCGCCGTCGTAAAAGGGGCCGCTTTCGGCGGCGGCACGGTTGAGAATTCTTCCTACTTAGGCGGGTTACTCCCCGGCCCGGACCGCGGACCGAGCTTTGCGGATCACCACCACCGCATGGACGGAAGTGGCGGCGCGTCGTCCATGTTCATGCGGGCTCACCAGGGTTTACCGGGCCAGCCCTCGCTTGTGGCAGAAGCACCCGAGCCCAGTGGTGCTGCTACCACCATGGACCATGGTATGGGGGTGGCGCAGCAACTCAGCCCACCGGCCTCGTTCTCTGCAGAGCTGGTGCGCCTCTTGGCATCCCCCTCGGGCGAGATTCCGAACGAGCATTGGCTGGGTATGTGGATGTCGGCGGGGCAGACTGTTGATACGACGACGACTTGACAACAGAGCTTGTCGTGGGATTCTTGGAAAACGAGGAGAACTAAGGTACGGTGGCGTTCGGTTCGGAAGGTTCGCAAGGTTCGCAAGGTTAGCAGTTAGTTATTACTTATTATTTGGGCTGTTCACAAGCGAGCGAAATTCGACATGGAACTGTCATACCGAGAGAGCGGGGAACCCGGTATGGCTGCGGGTTAAATGTGGGCGCTGACCATTCTGCAGAGCAAACAATGGCCAATAATAACACTTCAAAAGCCAAAGGTGGGCCGTGGCGAGCCCGAACCCGGATAACCCAGCCCGAACCCGAGAGGCTCAGGAATGACGTCACCACAAACAACATTACCTACATTAGAGGTAGTGTCCAATTTGAGCCGAGCGGTTTGAAATACGGAGCGGGGGTGTGGGGTAGGCAATTAATTGGATAGTCAGCTGCAAAAAAAAAAAAAAAAAAAAAAAAAAAGAAAATACCCCCCAAAAAAGAGAAAGAGAGGATAAAAAGAAGGAAAAGAAGGGGAAAAAAAGAAAACAACGTCGGCCCCTTCTACTATGCCCACGCATGCTACATGCCAGCCAAGTCCGGCATGCCCCGGGGACCTAACTCCCGGCGTTTCTTCAAGTCACTCTCCTTCTCGCCCCTCCTCAGGGCCGCGATCAGCTCCTCGGGGTCAAAGTCGGTGCCGATGGGGTTCTCGCCAAAGTGGGCGCCCCGCATAAAGGCCGCGGCCTCATGCACCGTGTCGAAGTTGTCGACCTGCGTCTCCAGCATGTTCCCGTCCGGGTCCTTGTAGTAGATGCTGGTCGTCGGCCCGTGATTCACGCTCCACACGGGATCGATGCCGAGGGCTTTGCGCTGCCGGTACGCCAGCGCGAGGTCGGCCAGGGTGCGGAACGTGAAGGCGATGTGCTCCAGGCCGCAGCTGTTGGGGACCTTGGCCGGCGTGCCTGGGATCCCGATCAGGGCGATTCGGTGGTGCTCTTCGTCGTAGGTGATGAATGAGAGCGAGTCGTCGCTGTACGTGACGCTGCCACCCAGGAAGTTGACGTAGAAGTCGGTTAGTTTCTTGATGTCTGATGTGCGTAGGACTACGTGTGCTAAGCTCGATGGCTTCAGCACGCTTGTGGCAGGAGCATCGAAGTCTGGGAGGGCTTGTTTGGTTGACATGACTGGCAGAAAGAGGAGAATAGAGATGGATTATTGTATGGTGAAGAATAGTTTCAGTTTTAGCAGAGAGGAAGGCTTGTCCAAGGGCAGGATCGCCACTGCTAGGAGACAGGGTATCCGAACATATAATAATGGTGGACACACGGGCGGAAAGTGGTGTGGGGAAGTCCGGGGAAACCAAGATTCGGCCCGCCAGTCCGCGATTCCATGGAGATGATGCCGAACCCGAAGCCGTTCAAAGCCATTCAAAATCCGATTCGTCAATGCTTGTCCGGGGTTTCCGGGGAACTCCTTTCCCTTCTTTTCCGGCTGGCCACGGGTTTCTGCATTGCTTTCGTGCAGGTCTTTATCCTCAGTCAGTTTACAGTTTGCCACCTGCTGACGTTGCTCAGGACATCGCCAGTCCCTGTTGAGATCTTTTACTACCTACCGTCCCGCCTTCCCGCCTTCCCGCCTTCCCGCCTTCCCGCCTTCCCGCCTTCCCACTCCCCGACCAAAGATGAGCTACGTGACCAAAGAGGCTACTTGGCCAGCCACTACACTCCAAAAGGGAGTAAAAGAGGTCATTGCTAGGTTCTATGAGCTCGCCGACTCTAAAGAACCTGACGCGGGCCCGCGAATAGCGAACGAGGTATTCACCAAGGATGCCACTCTGGTCTCGGTTTCTGGTACCTTCCAAGGATTTTCAGGTAATTATGTCAAGGACCCCCGTGTCCTTTTGTCGTATTTCCCAGGGCGCTGTTCTAAAAGTAGCAAACCATTAGATATTTCCGCGAGCCGCGACAAGGCATGGGTCGTGGTGAACTCGAGACAGCACAGTATTAGCCGAGTTTTTGCGGGCGACGATAAGGGCTTGGAGCTTGTACTTCTCGGAGCTGTCAAGACGGGTTTTAAAAATGGCCAGGTCTTGGACTCTCCGTTTGCTTGCCACATTACGGTTGATGCCTCGAGCGCCAAATCGGGAGACCCTCGCCTTAAGTTCATGGAGGTCTTTGCGGTAAGTAGAGTTTTTGGTTGGAATCTATGCTTCATCTAGGTGCTTGGCATTGACCTCATTTGCACCGGTAGGATACGGCCCCTATCGCCGCTGCGCTGGCGAATTAACAGCCCAATAAGTGAAGGTTGTGTGCTCTTGGGGAGAGCTGGTCATCCAACCAAACTTGGGCTCGTGATTCATACCGTCAGGAAGGGAGGGTGCACACACAACGCGAGGGGCTATTCCATCAGACATGCGTCGGTGCTGCCAGCCTGTGTCCCTTTACACGGTCGCGCAAGCGTGGGTCCTGGCTGTGTGACTTGCGATAATTCCCAAGGCGGCAGGCAGATAGATGACCATGGTGGAGCCAGCTCAGGATATTTTTGCTTTTTGTACATATGTCCATATCCTCCAGAATAGCCACAGCAAACTTCAGCTCTCGCCGTTTCGAGACCTTAGTCTCGGCCGCCTCGTCGGGGTTGCTGTACTCCCACAGCTTTCGCGGCATCTCCTTCTGTGGGTTAAAGATGGGGACGAAGATTATGCTAGAAGGTAGTGCTTACATTATCCTAGACAATTCACATAATATGGCAAGTTGGAATCTTCACTTGCATTGAAACGAATTACAGAGCTACGTAAGCAAGAGATGCCCATCAGGAAGTAGATCTGTATATATGTTGGAAGCGCTGATTAATCTGAGTGGATTTCTTGATTGATAGGGCCTGTCAGATGACCCTGTCATCTCAAAACGGTCCTGTGAGATCCTGCCCAGAAACGTAGTCAGGATTATGCACATCCACGTGATTATATCAAGGTATACCACTATATCCGTACGGAAGTGTGGATATACAGATATGCCACTATACCCGCACAAGTGTACGGATATATATATATTCCACTTACAAACTTCCATCTTGCCTCGGCTAATTGTTTGCGCTATGAATTGTCCCCATATCCTATATCTCGGCTTCGGTGTTGAGGGCGTAAGACGGTTTTAGTACCCGAACCCGGCGCACCAAATGGCATCATGGCACGCCCCCACCCCGAGAGTGCGCGTGCCCTCTGAATGGCACTGTAAACATAATTTGATCAGTTAATATCTTGGGAATTGCCTCGTAGGTGACTGGCTGGACTTGTATAACTCTAAATTCTACCTGAAGATTGGCTCCGAACCTTCCAGATCTGTCCGTCTATCCATCCAAAACTCGGCGTTTCGTTCCTCTTCCACCGTACACACCCAAGACTTCCTCCACACAACCAAGAACTAGTGCTACCGCCGTCCGCACATCCACAATGAGCGAGCAAGCAGCGCCTATCGACGTCCCGGTGGTGATTCTAGGAGGCGGCGGCTGTGGCCTCAGCCTCTCCTGCTTCTTGTCCGACTATGGCATCGAGCACTACCTCTTCGAAAAGCATCCAGGCACGGCGCTTCTCCCTCGGGCCCACTACATCAATCAGCGTTCCATGGAGATTTTCCGTCAGCACGGCATTGCAGAGCGCATCAAGGCCGTCGGCTGCCCGATCCGCAACATGAGCCAGATAGACTGGCGAACGTCCCTCGCCGGCGACGGCCCCTACGATGGGCGGGTGATCGGCTCGGTTCCTTCTTTCGGCGGGTCGGTCGGGACCCGTGACTTTGAGAGTTATCGTGAACACGGGGCCGAATTGTCTTGTAACTTGCCTCTAGTGCGAGCCGAACCCATTCTCCGGCAGATTGCCGAGGAGCGGAACCCGGGCCGAATCCAGTTCGGCCACAGGGTCCTCGACTTCACCGAGGAGAAGGACGGCGTGTTGGTCAAGGTTGAAGGGCCCGACGCCAAGATCCAAGTCTACCGCGCTAAGTACCTTGCGGGAGCCGACGGTGGCAAGTTTGCTGGCGACAGGATAGGAGCTCGCATGGAGGGTCCGACAAACCTTGTTGAGTTTCTCAGCGTGTATTTCAAGGCGGATCTGTCCGAGTACTGTGACGGTAAGTCCAAAGTCCAACCCATCAGACGCTGCCCAGCGCAGATGGCAGACAGATATAGGGGCTGCATTTTTCTAACTTGGGGGAGTCCGGTGAAAACAGACCGGACCTTAATCTCCCACTTCATCAACCCGGAGGGAGAGAAGATGGAGCGTTTCGACTGCGGCGTGCTGGTCAAGATGGGCCCTACCTGGGATCGCCGTTCCGAGGAGTGGCTCCTCCACTTTGGCGTGCCCGTCGACGAGCATCTGCCGTTAGAGGCGGACGAGCTCGCTGCCCGGGGTCGGCAGCTATTGAAGATTCCGGACCTGAAGATGGACGTCATCAAGGTCAGCCGCTGGGTCCTGGAGAGGACACTGGCGTCCAAGTACCAAGAAGGCCGCGTGTTCCTGGCCGGAGACGCGGTGCACAAGCGGCCGCCCACAACCGGGCTCGGACTCAACACGGCCATCGATGACTCGCTGAACCTGGCCTGGAAGCTGGCCTTCGTCCTGCGTGGCAAGTCCGAACCCTCCATCCTGGACACGTACGGGATCGAGCGTCGGCCCGTGGGCGGGCGGAACTGCGATTGGGGCCTCTTCACCTTCTCCAACTACCCCGTGCTCCAAGCAGCCGTCGGCTTCATTCCCGGACAGAGGGAATACAACCAGCAGCGGGTAGCTCGTATGTTCGAGGACTCGCCCTACGGCGAGACAGCGCGGTACCACCTGCAGCGGGTTCTCGAAACACAGGATGTCGAGTTCTGTGCGCACAACATCGAGCTCGGCTTCTCGTACGACAGCCCGGCGGTGGTGCCGGACGGATCGGTCAAGCCCAAGGAAGACCCCGGTGGACGAGTGTACGTCCCCACGACGCGACCCGGCCATCGCCTGCCACATGCCTGGATCGAGCAAGACCACAAGGTCGTCTCGACCCACGACCTGATTGGCGACGGGCGCAACCACGACCTGCTCTTGATCACAGACGAGGCGGGGGATGACTGGTCGCGCGCGGCCGCGGGCATCTCGGCGTCCTCCCGGATCCGCATCGGCGTGGCGGCGATCAAGGCCCATCGTCATTGCCGCGATCCCGGTCTCTACGTCGACTGCGACGACAGATGGGCGAGGGTGCGGGAATTCGGCGACGGAGGTGCGATTGTTGTCCGGCCCGACAACTTCGTCTTGTGGAGGAGCATGGGCCCCTCGCGTCGCGGTGGAGAGGAGCTTGCCGAGGAGCTGGAGAAGGTGTTTAAGCTCAACTTGAGGAATGGCCCTGTTAATACCGCGCTGGCGGCGATTAATTAGTAGCTACTTCCTAAACCAAATTAAACACCCCCACCATATAAGATAACAACATGACTCTTCATATAAAGGACGAACCCTAAGCCGTCGATGCCCTCTAGCCACGTCCCCACTTGTTCGGCACTTCTTGCAACCGTCGCGCCATCGAGAACGCGGTGATCGGCGCTTCAGCTCAGCATGAACTGATATCTCTTGACGATCCGCTCCATCCCTCTTGAACACAGGCACCAACCGCCGTCATGGGCGACAGAATCACCGGCGCAACCGTCTGGCCGCCTATGCTCCCGATATTGCTGACCACCAGTGTCGCGCCTCTCATGTCGCCCGGACCCAGGCACCCCTCCCTTGCTAGAGCGCCGACGCGCGACAGCTCCGCCGCAAGCGAGATGACAGAGTGGTTCTGCACGTTCTTGACGACCGACACCAGGAGCCTGCTGCGCGTGTCGATGGCCACGCCGAAGTTGTGCGCCGCCTTCACGATGATGTGCGGCCAGTTGGGATCCATCTCTGTGTAGAGAATAGAATTGAGCGCCAGAAAGGCCGTGACCGCTTGCGACAGGGCTTTCAGCACGAATGGTAGAGGCGTCAGCTTCGCCGTAGAATCTCCGGTTTTGAGGTGCGACGACAGGCTCGGGTCGATTGCGAACCGCTTGCGCAAGCTCATCAGCGGTGTCAGATCCACGGCGCGTGTGTAGAGGAAGTGCGGGATTGCTAGAGAGCGCGTCATGGACTGGAACATTTGGGCTTGGATTGGCGTGAGAGGAATCCGGTGGTCTTGTTCTAGCGCCTCCCTATCCTCCTCCAAGGTGCTGCGCGTTACTGACAATGCGGGAGATGCAGGAGCCAGGGTTATTGCAGTGACATGTCTCTAGACGTCTTCTTTGAGAACACAGCCGTCCTTGCCAGTCCCCTCACGTTGGCAACATCGATGTTAAGCTCCTTAAGCAAGTGCCTGACAGCAGGAGCTACAAGGTCACAGTGCCTGATTAGGGCCAGGAGGCCCCCTATTTCTAGTCCAAGCCCGATCAGCTTCTTCTCGCCTGCTTGGGAAGACTGAGGTGCGTTACTCGACACGGTAGACTGATTTACCTTCTCCGGTGCGGTCGTAGATGCGCGTGTAGAGCTGTCCGTCTGTTCTTGCTGGCCGACCGGCTCGAGAGAGGCATCCGCTGAACTTTATGAGCTACCGTATCTCTCACCATAGCACTAGCGATGACATCTTCAACTACCGCAGCCGCAAAGAATGTCGCGTACTGGAAGTTCGACAACCGCGATCCCATACCTCGGCTACGGCAATGGTTGGAGCGGCAGGGTGTACGATTCCTCTGGAACCTCCTCGACGGCCGCGCGGTAGAGAATCTTGGGCTCCATGAAGATGACGGGGTCTTTCGACTCGAGCACAGCGGCGAGGAGAAGGCCTTTCGCCTGCGACAGCGACCAAGGCACCGCAACCTGGAACCCAGTGAATTGGGAGAAGAGGGCCTCAGGTGACTACGTGTGGTACCTGGTCCAGTACCTAACCCTACATGTAAGCATATGCGGCCCCGTAAGCCAAGAATCGGCCCGTAATTAATCACTACTTGATTACTTACAGGGCACCGTGTCCAACACCGTCCCATGGCATGCGAATGACGAGGCCGCCGAAGTTGCACCCCGTCATTCCTTCGCGGTAGCGGAACTTGGAGCCTTCGTTGACGATTTCATCAAAGGCCGGGAAGACATAATCGGCAAACTGGATCTCGACGACGGGCTTCATGCCCTCGGCCGCGGCTCCGATCACAGCGACGACAATGCCTTGCTCTGTCAGAGGTGTGTTAAACACCCTTTGTTTGCTAAAGTCTTGCTGCAAGCCCGTGTTGCACCGGAACACGCCACCGAAACCGACATCTTCGCCGAAGCAGAGGACGCGGTTCGACGTGACGAGCGCGGTCCGCAGCGCCGAGTTTACTGACTGGAACAGGTTTAGACGCTTTGACGGACTGTTGGAAGGCAGGCCAGTCGTTTGGGAGAGAGTGCCCGTGCTGAAGTCGATGGGGAGATTTAGTCGGCGCCCGGGTGGTGTCGAAGCTTGTGATGTGTAGCAGCGGCGGGCGTGCGAAAACAGGCACTGCCTACGCCAGGCCGCAGTCTAGGAAGGGGGGCCATGTCCGCGAAACTGAAGTGAACGCGTGGAATGGATGCCTTCTAAACGGGACGATGGAGAAATGGGAAGGACGAGAAAATGACCAAAACAGCTAAAGCGCTGGTGTTCCACGTCACCCTCGGTTAGCCTTTCCAACGAGTCTGCGTCAAAATTTCAACTTGTTGTTGATTACCTGGTAGGCGAATCATCACGAACGGTAACATGGGGTAATGTAGATTAGATCAGCACCATTGCCGAGGGTATCCTCGGATGAGTCCGAATATCACTAACACGCAAATGCCGCCCGCACCCCATCCAAAGCGCATCGCGCAATACGCATTACGCTGGGGACCCACTGGAACTTTGGTAAAGGTACAAATACAAATAGATGTATGTATGTACGTACTGCTTAGTGCTAAGCGGAACCCGAATGCGTTGGGTGTCGATAAACCATTATGATTGGATGTCCCGGGATAGGGGGCGGGGGCGGGAGTACTTGGAGCTTCCCCGCTCTCGTCCACATCCCCGTTCCCATCATTTTGTGGTTTTCGGGTTCGGCATCGGGCAGCACAATCCGGGGTAAAGGTGGGGTGGTTGCCTAATTTCCATCTCGTGTTTGCATCGAAAGCCAACATAGTTGAGAATGGTACATAAGTAGTAGCAGCATTGTGGTTGTCGAATGCGTCTACTGTTCTGAACGCCTTTATAGCGATTGCAGCCTAGTCTTGGGTCAGCCTTCCCTGAAGATCTAGTCGTCCATGTCGCTCTTTACAAAGACAGCCCTGTCGGGCCTACCATCCAGTCCTATTGCTCTTGCTCTGGTGTTAATCGCTCTGCTGCTCATTGTCAAACTCGCCAAGGTTGGCCGCAGACCTCCCGGTCTACCGCCCGGTCCTCCGACAGTGCCACTCCTAGGCAACTTGCATCTTGTTGGTTCAGTTCATCAACGTAGTCCTCTCCAGTAGTCTCTAGTGTAGTGGCTAACCACCTGCTCAGATGCCCACCAAGAAGGCACATTTGCAGTTCCAGAAATGGGCACAAGAATACGGGTACGTCAGATTTTCAAAATTATCATCAAAATCGTTGGCTATGTCGCTTGCTCACCGTAGCCCCTCCGCAGGCCGGTGTATTCCCTGATGCTGGGCACAAAACCGGCCATCGTGCTTTCTTCAGACACCGCCGTCAAAGACCTGCTAGACAAGAGAAGCGGCAACTACTCGGACCGACCTGACATGTTCATCGGGCAAAGAATGGCCAGCGGAGACTTGAGACTCGTGGTTATGGTAAGTAATAGCTCCCAGACAGAGCGGCTGCTCGCGCGCAAGCGACTGGGCAAGCTGACCACAATACAGAGATACGGAGACAAGTGGCGAATGGTCCATCGCATGATCCACAACATCTTGAATATAAAGGCCGCCGTGACGTACGTTCCGTATCAGGACCTCGAGTGTAAGGTGCTGCTCCAGGGATTGCTCGATACACCAGCAGACCTCCTCTCCCATATCAGGCGGTTCACCTACTCTCTTTCCACCCAAATGATCTTTGGATATCGCTGCGCCGACATGAAGGACCCGAATCTTTTACAGCTGTTCGAGGTTTGCGCCGGCGCCCCCAAAGTGATCTGCATCATTCTTCTAACATGACTGCTAGTGTTTTAGCAATTGGGGCCAGCTCTCAGGGAGTTCAAGCGCACAGCTCGCAGACCTATATCCCCTAATCCAGAAGTTACCTGACTGGATCGCGCCGAACGTCCGCTACGCCAAGAAACTGCACAAGATCGAAAGACGGTTATATGTCGGCCATTGGCTAAGAGCGAAGAATGCGCTCGATGCCGGTACAGGACTGGTATGGGCTTTGTGTTCAACCCCAACGCCCTCCCCCCCCACCCTCCTTCTCCACCTTTTCCGCTGACGAGATTGAGCCGAGCTGACATTTCCGTGGTTAGCCATGCTTCTGCAATGATATATACCGGTCCCAGGTGGTCGAGAAGTTTGACGATGGCCTTGCGGGCTACATCAGTGGCTCACTGCTTGAAGCAGGCTCCGACACCACGGCATCAACACTCTATGGCTTTGTTCTGGCGATGCTGGTCTTCCCAGAGGTGCAGAAGAAAGGTCAAGAGGAGATTGATCGAGTTGTGGGACCTGATCGTCTGCCGACAATTGACGACTACGAGCAGCTTCCCTATGTCCGTTGCTGCATCAAAGAAAGTTTGCGTTGGATGCCTACCGTCATTCTCGGTGTGCCTCACGCGTCGCTCAAAGAAGATAACTATATGGGTTATACTATCCCCAAAGGCTCCACTGTGATCAACAATGTCTGGTAAGTCGAGCGAATCACGATAATCTTTCGAAGGACAAGCCATCTGACTGGATGTTGAAGGTCGATTCACATGGATCCGAAACGGTCTCCCAATCCACGAGTCTTTGACCCGGAGCGGTTCAAGGATGACCATACCTCTCTCTACCAGTCCGCCATTGGAGACACAAAGAAGCGTGACAACTTCGTGTTTGGTGCTGGCCGTCGTCTCTGTCAGGGAATCCACATCGCCGAGAGATCGCTCTTCCTGGCCATTTCTCGATTCTGGTGGGGCTTCAATTTCTCTCCGGCAACTAACCTTGATGGAACGCCTGTCCAGTATGACATTGACGAGCTGGTTGGTGGGATCACGGTTCAGCCGGCTGACTATCCTGCGTCCATCACCGTCCGGAGTGAGGCAAAGGAGCGGATTATGCGAAATGAAGTGGCAGAGTGCGAAAAGCTCCTAGATCCGGTAACTCGACAGTGGAAGGAGGTGCCTAAAGGGATGGCATTCAGCACCTGGATGCCGGAGAAGATCGACGCTTGAAGGAGTAGTTCTGACTTAGTTACTAGCGAAATATATTCTCCTGCTTTAAGTTAAATCACCCCCCTTCCGGCCACCCCCACCTTCCGGCCACCCAAAAATCCGACTTACACCACCACTACTACTTTATTCAACCTGACTTTCTACCTTCCTTGATTTTACTACAATACAACTGCCTAACTCACTAGGTAATTCAGGCTTGCTGAATTCATCTAGACCATCCTCAATATAACCAGCCTCCAATTAAGCCTTCCAGATTGCCTCAATGTTGGCAAACTTTGAATTTGGGCTTAATTTGACCTTCTTCTTCTTCCTAGGCTGTGCAGCTTCAAGCTAGGCCTCTAGTGATTCAACCTTCTGTAAAGAAGTAGCCAACTGGATGTCCTTTTCGTCAAATGCCTTGTGGATCTTCTAGAATAGTAGTTGTTGTGTGGAAGTAGGTTGCTCTAGGTGGCTAAATTGATGTAGTTAATCTCAAAGCTCTATAGCCTTTCTAGAAGTTAACTATACTACTGCAGCTGTATCTAAGTTCTATTAAAGGATAGGTTTACCACCAATTGCATGCTAAGAAGTCGAATTTTCCAGATCTTGGGCCTTTTTGTTAGAGTTTTCCAGCAAGAGTAGGCTAAGTAGGGGTTTGGTTATAGAGACTAGCCATAACCCTGTAGCTTTCCACCTACTCTTGATATTCTAACTAGTCAAAGCAGTCTCGCAGGCCTTTTAGTAGCAGGCTAGGAAATTCCGCTTTCCTACTACTGTAGAATCTACCTACTAAGCAAGAAAGCCAAGCTCTTTCCAGTAAGCTGTTTTGAAAAGTCTAAATACTGAAAAATCTAGTAGTTGCATAATGTAAGAGGTATGTGAAGGTAAGAAAAGCAGGTAAATCTTGTGCTAAAAGCAAAGCCATATAAACTTGGTTGTTTTGTAACTGCCATGGCTATCCAAGACTAGTAACTGGTACTTAGAAAGGTCTGTTGGCTAGGTCTTTGGAATAAAGACCTTTTGGAGCTATTCAACAGCAGCGTTATTGGAAATCCAGCCATTTTCAGAAAAGGAGAACTTCCATGTAGCATAAGAAGCTAGTTTAAATGGAAACCATTAGGCTTGAAGCGATTTTCCTTTAAATATAACCAGAGGATCCAAGGCAGTACTAGTTGCTAAGATACACTCTAGGAAAATCGTCTAAGCGCATAACCTAGGCTTTTTCTTTCAAATTGCTCTCTTCTTAGAGCCTCCTAAGACTAATCTATTAGATCCCTAGCCTTTCATAATCCCAGATTTGTCTATATTATACTAGTTGTGTAGCTTGATGGCTTGGATAGCTAGAATCTTCAGATATTGAAACCAACGTCTAATTACATTAGTTGTAGCCTTATTAACATGTTTGGAATCAATAGATTTGCTTTCCTAGGTCCTGACAGCTAGATTCCTGCGTAAAAAGGCCTCAACCTAACGCTTTCTAAGTGGCTAGGAGTCTCCTTTGGCTTGCAAGACTTGCTTTGCAAATTCCTTTAGCTGAAAGTGGGAAGGTGGAAGTCCTAGGGCAGCCTAGGTAAGGACCTATTAAGCCAGGTGGCTTTCCTAAAGTGGTGAGAGCCTTTGGTAATTCAAAAATGCATCTTTCCAAAGTGTGGTACCATTGAGGCAGTCCTAAAGAGTAGTCCTTGGAACCCCCCATTCCAGAGAAGCCTTGCGTAGACTTTGACCATTCGCAATAGCCTGCAAGGCCTAATTGACGTCATCTTTGGTATATAGCTTCATTGTCAACTGATCAAGATAATTGCAAAAAGTAGGCTTAATTAGGCTTAATTTGATCAAGGAATGGAAGTTTGTTTGGTGATGGTTGAAATGGCGGTGTGGAATTTTTGGGTGGCCGGAAGGTGGGGGTGGCCGGAAGGGGGGTGATTTAACTTAATATTGCCTGCCTTAGGGGAAAAAACACGTAGCCCTTATCCCGTCATACCATCCCAATCTGAAACGCGGCTCTTGCACTCTACCTACGCTTCTCCTTTGCCACATTTTGGGATCCCTACCTATGTAGTTGTTGCTCTCAGGCTAGCTTGCGGTGTTGATGATAGCACCTCTCGACGAGGGCTATGTTCCTAACCTTTCGCTTAGCTTCTCGCAGGTTTGGCTCTTCTTCAAGGTGTTACATCACCCAGGAAAAGTAGGTCATATTCATTTGAGGTCATATTCATTTGGGTTCGCAGCCTTGCAAGGAAGTGGACTGCCCTGCGTAGTGAATACAAGTGCAGCAATACAAGCGCAGTGAATGCAAGCGCAGTGAATACATATGGTTATCACAATCTGTATATAACCGCACCTTTCTAGCCACCTTACCCATTTCTTCTTCATCTAGAATTTCAGTCTTGAATTGACGGTATTTGACCCGGCCTTTGCGCTCTCGAATATAAGATCGGAATCCGCTCCCTCCTCTTCCTCTTCCTTCGTACCTTTCTTGAAGCTGCCTCAATTTTGGGTTTGACCTTTGCCTCACACCCGCACATCAACTTCCAACACATTCTAACTACAACCGTCGCGAAACTCTCTCGTATTCTACCTTTATCGAATTCGTTCCGTCTGTGACGCCCTACATCAATTCTCGCACCGAAACTCGCTCCGGCATCAAACGAGAATGTCAACCACGATTCCTATCACGAAGAACCATTGCGCCCACATTCGCGCCAATGGCGCCCCCTGCGGGAAGGAAGCTAGCCTCCCATGCGAGGACTGCTTCCTTGCTGGTGGCCGTAAGCTCTCAACTTCGCTCACTTTCGTGCTGGCACCTCACCAATTGTTCCAGTACTGTTCACTTGAGTGTAAGCAGGCCTATCGCAAGCCTCATGGCAGTCTCTGCAAATACTCAATTCTCCAATCGGACTAGCGTCCAGGGACTAAAGGCGTCACCAATAGCGGGCAGAGCATGCTGGCGGCCCAGCTCGGCGGCGGGAAGCCGAAGCGATATCTGAGGAACCGTAGCAGCCTATGACGCCCTACGTTTGCGACAAAAAGAGGGTCAGGATTTTGACATCTATTGCTGACGCGGGGGATCAAAACTGTTGCAGGGTCTGGGGATGCGCGAAATGTCCCCGCTACGGTCGGCGAGATCCCGTAGACTGCCATTTTGACCCTCGACATTGTGATCAACGCCCGGGACTTTGACATCGTGGCGGCTGAGTGTGCTGTCCATCCTGGTACTCCGCGGTCTTGCCCTGGAAGGTCTGGGAACTGGTCGGCACCGCTGTTGGAGCCCTTGTGAGAGAAGCCTGTCGGGTCGTCGAGAAGGATCCTTGTTTGTTAGCTAATCTTCTCTCGCACGTGTAGGATTTCGGCTCTCGAAGCCTTCATCTGGTTTTGGCAAAGGATCGGTGGCTGAAGTTGCTCCGCATTGTCACTTCCACATGGGCGGCGGACAGGCTAAGGATGTCTAGAAGAAGGAGACGTATGACAACCACAAGTCTAAACTAGAAGCCGATATGTACTTTAGACTCCAAGCTGGCGTACATGCACTCACTCTTCCGTCAGGATAGAATCTTGCTTCCTTATTATCATGCGTACTTTGACAATCCAAACCCGAAAGACAGCAGTTCCCTTAGCCAAATTCATTACTCCAACTATTCCCGCAGGCCATGCTAACCACCATGCACAGAACGCTATTCACCAAGGACAAGACGTGGAAGCTCTATCATGACGCGAAGCTGTTTTATAGATGGGGGATGGACAAGATTATAGACTATTGCAACAATGCTGCAAAGAACGACATCTACAGAAAAACCTTCTTTCATGTCCAAGACGTCATCAAGAAGTCTCACTCCTGCCTAAGGTCTCTCAGCATTAGCTTTAGACTCCTCCGTTGCAACCTCTAGGAGATTCCTAAGGTCTTGCCTGGCTACAAGTTCGATCGCATCGAGGTTTGTAGCAGGTGTTTCTATAAACCTTTTAATTCTCTTGCTGACTGACGGCCGTAGACTTCCAACGAGCGCGATTGTTGGGTTTTTGAGCTTGGGAAGACGCTTATGCCATTAGGCTTGATCTTTCAGTCCCTTGCAGACAATATACACGCAACGCTATTTACTATCAACCGCAAGGCTGTTGAGCTTAGACACAAGTGGGTGGATGCAGAACTAGCGCTGCAGGTAAATGTTTCTATGTTATTGTTGTGTTTAGACCTTGCTATGGTCCTCCCTTAAGCTTACACTGCACGCAGGAAGTCCTACTCGATCGGTACTTGCCTCTGGCGCTAGCTTTTGCAACCCCAGATAGTATCCCATGTACACATCGTACGCAAGCCGTCAGACTTGTCTGCAACATGGACGTGGCATTTGAGAAGTAAAAGTCCCGTTCTGTCGATGCGCTAGAGAGAATCCTTCCTGGATGGTGAAATTGAAATTGATGTTTTAGGTGATAAATCAGTTACGCGAAAGAGGCTGACTACTAAAAAGTTGGCAAGAAGGCTGGATTGAAGAGGAAGCACAAAAACGCCATTGTGAAGCAGTGGCCGACCCGGACACAATGGGGCGATGGGCGAATCGCTTCCGAATAGAATAGGAGTTTCTGCGTCTTTTGGCCTGGGGTAACTCTTACAGCTGGGAGCGCTACGCTGAATGGCAGAAGCAAGCGTAGAAAGGAGGGCAAGCTTGCGTGTATTATCGGGGGCTTTGGCTGGGTTAGACAATCATAAGAAGCAAGCCGTAGGAACTTGTTCTCATTATCTAGATACTGCTCTGCTGCAAGCAGTCGTGCTCCCGCCAGGTCTTGCTTTCGCAGCTAGATGTCTCGGACTTCAAGATGCAGTTCTGGTCTACAAACTAGACGAGGGTATCATGCATCAACGAAAGACTAGTTGACTTCAACTTGTATAGCTTGGTAGGTGTACCAATGGAAATAAGGGTAGATTTGTAACAGGATGGAATATCGGTTATTCGAGCAAGGAACTTGACTGGAAATTGTCTAAGGACTTGCTTTCAACTTGTCGAAGAGAATAACTACACTAAGCCTCTAGTATCATGCAATGTATAGCTATTTGGAGGAAAAGCGCTGGCGTTAAACCCCTTCCTGATAAGGCAGAGTGGTATGTTTGGTGGTGTCAAAGGACTGCAACGAAAACATCGGTGTTGGTAGCATAAGGGATCTTGTACTTGCCATGGAGGGGTTTGGCAGATTGGAAGAGGCTATAGCTTTGTTACCTCACGGCTTAACTGCGCGGCCTCGAGGCAATGTTGGAGACGGGAAGTGGAGTGCGGCGCCTTGCTGCCGCTGCTCAACGCCGAGAATGGAGTATATGCGCCTGTGTCACTGCTTTGTACAGAGAACGAAGTACGAAGATATCCGCTCTCGCCCCGGATTGTTCGAAACCTAGCTCCACAATCTTGGGCCCCGACAGACAGCGTTTTGCCAACAAGTCAGCGCCTTATCAAGAGTTTATCAAGACCATGCATTCACTCCAGATCATAGACGCCTTCTTCATTGGCGACAACGGATTCTTGAAAAAGTACGGCATAGTAATTGGCCTGCCTCTTCAAAGCTCCAATGTGTGCCTGACTCGCAGAGAGTTGGGAATCGCACTGGGGGCCACTGATAAAGACTGTTGAGGAAAAACAATGACAATTCTTCGACACTACGGCCCCGTCTCCGGGAGGCCAGAACCACAACCTTGGAAGATGCAACAAGGCCCTAGTTCAAGCCTTAATTAAAAGTAATATACCTAGGGAATGTTAGCACGCTGTGGGGCATGGTAGGGAACGAGAACCGGCAAGCTTGGGACAGAATAGGTTGACAGTACGGATATACTTTTGAGACCCCACTGTAATTACCCCTGGTTGTTGCATGTACGGTACACAATGCCATTATGCACCTCGGAATGACCCAATGGCTGGCATCTAGTTGTCCTGGCGCTGCACAAGTCCAATAGACTAGAGGACTTCCAATTGGAAACAATGCAGCGAAAACGGTTATTACTATAGTAAATCGAGTATCCGTAATTCGTTCCGAAGAATGTGGGGACGTCAGAATTGCTGGGTCATCTGGCTAATCGGGTGATAACCTCCCGCGAAAGTGGGTACTTTTACGCCACCCCTTCTGACAGATTTACGCTATTTGCGCTGGTCCGGGTCGCGGCTAAGCCGAATCAAGCTCTTCAGCCACCAGCTATTGAATTGCGGAGAAGCAATAGCGCCAATAGTTGCATGTTACCTTGTCCCATTTGTTCAGCCCCCTGAAGCCAATCTAGATCTAGGAAAGCTTGAATTTGTTATTGAGGTCTGGCCCATGTCTCAGCTCTAGACGGGGAACATATAACAAGCACCCGCCCCCTTGGCAAGACCACGCTCATTCTTGTCCCTTTTGAGACACGCAAGTAACAGTCGAAGTCAATCCCGGGTGCCTTCAAGATGGTCTTCTTTCGCAAGGTTATCGCCTTCGCCGTCACGTCTCTGATTTACCTCGGGGTTCACGCGAAGCCATGTGTACCCGTGACGCCTTCGGGGTCAGCTACCTCGACGCCGGATGCCCCGACGTCTTCAACCCCAACCCCGACCTCAACCGCAAGCGCCACGGCCAGTATCGCAAATTCCGGCTTCGAGGATCCCAGTGAAGTAGACGGAGCAACTGTATGGGATGGAGCTCCCTGGATTTTCAGCACCACACCGTCAACCTCGTCGGCAACAGTCATGGAGCAGGATGACACTACACCGGCTCACTCGGGCGAACACTACCTGTACGTATTCCCAGGGCTATCGCCTCGCATTCTCTAAACAGCCTCTAGGTTCGTAAGCATTCCAAATCTGAACAACCCCACCTCCATCTCCCAAACCCTTTCCGGCCTCGATACCACCCACCAATACACGCTCTCGTACTACTGGGGCCTTACCACCAAGCAAGAAATCTACGACAGCCGCTGCCACGTCCAGGTCAGCATGGACAGCCAGGTGTTGGACAACTCCAGGATCGGCCGCAACACCCCATACGAGTACTTCCAGTACAAAATCGTGTTCACCCCGCCATCCGCCGACCCACTCCTGACCCTCACCTTCTTCTGCGACAGCGGCTACTTCTACGGCGCCGAGCTCCTCATCGACGACATAACCCTGACAGCCTCCACACCACCATGCACCGCCGTCGACCCGACCCCACCAGGCACCACCTGCGGCCCCCTGGGCCGCGGCCAGGCGGACGACGCCTACTCGTTCCAGATGCCCGACATCGGCGACTCGTCCACCGTCCAGAACTGCGCGCTCAGCTGCGCGCAGACCCCGCAGTGCGAGACGTTTGCGTACGCGGGCAACGGCCAAGGCGACGCCGGCTCCGGAGACGGCTGCGTGCTCTTCTCGGCGTCGCCGGACCGCCTCGGCTTTGTCGAGCTGGGGTATGGGAGCGCGTACTACCAGCTTGAGTGCTTCCTGTGCGGTGGGGTTGCACCGTAGCTGACGGCCAATTGCTTACTTGACTTACGTGAGGGGTGATTGTTGCCATGTTGTCTAGAATGGGTTTCCCTGACTAAGACTCGGTGGTATTTTCTCATTTGGAACGAGCATTTTAGATGTTGAAGTACTTAATATACTTACAAATGGGTGCGTGAACGGTAATTAACGTAGACTCTCTTTATCGGTGTCGCAAGCTGTTCCTAGACGTCCACAGCCGGCTCTAGTGATTTGTCTGTTAGATAATTACAGCATTGTGGTTAGTATTGTGTCTGCGTACTGCAAACCATGGCCAATGATTCTCGATCATGCACATCGTAGGGTTGACCCTGCAATGGCGTGGGCTTGTTTCTCTTAATCCGGGCTGGATTTTTCTGGAGATATCTGTGGCGGCGGTCTGGCCGTGGCGCAGGCGAAATCAGGGCTAGACAAAAAGCTCGGATTTTGTCTCTGCTGTGATTCGAAGGCAGGACCTTGCGGTGGGTAAAGTGGGTAGCCAATAGCGTAGTGAGATTTATGACGCTGACTGTCAGAGCGGCAGGTTGAACCAATAAGACAATTGGATTTCAAGTCTAACAACCAATAAGATGGTTCTAGTTCTAAGGACCAATGAGATAGGCGGATTTCCAGTTTAGGAGCCAATGGGAGCCCAGTTAATTATTTCCCAAAAGCCAAAACAATTGTGGTGCAAAAGGAGACTCCAATTAACATTCATCGTGGTTCAACACCATGAATGGATCACGATATCCAGCCAGAAGCCTCACTTCCGACCGGGGGTGTATCAACAATATAAAAGTGGTTATAATCGAGGGTGCAATTGAAGTCTCTTTTCGCCTCGCAATTGTCAATGCCCCGTGCACAGGATAACGGCGGTGGTGAGAGGGCGATGGTAAGAGAATAAGTTAAATCACCCCCCTTCCGGCTACCCCCACCTTCCAGCCACTCAAAAATTCCACACCGCCATTTCAACCATCACCAAACAAACTTCCATTCCTTGATCAAATTAAGCCTAATTAAGCCTACTTTTTGCAATTATCTTGATCAGTTGACAATAAAGCTATATACCAAAGATGATGTCAATTAGGCTTTGCAGGCTATTGCGAATGGTTAAAGTTTACGCAAGGCTTCTCTAGAATAGGAGGTTCCAAGGACTACTCTTTAGGACTGTCTCAATGGTACTACACCTTGGAAAGATGCATTTTCGAATTACCAAAGGCTTTCACCACTTTAGGAAAGCCACCTAGCTTAATAAGTCTTTACCTAGGCTGCTCTAAGACTTCCACCTTCCTACTTTCAGCTAAAGGAATTTGCAAAGCAAGTCTTGCAAGCCAAAGGAGACTCCTAGCCACTTGGAAAGCGTTAGATTGAGACCTTTTTACGCAAGAATCTAGCTGTTAGAACCTAGGGAAGCAAATCTATTGATTCTAAACATGTTAACAAGGCTACAACTAATGTAATCAAATGTTGGTTTTAATATCTAAAGATTCCAGCTATCTAAGCTATTAAGCTATACAATTGGTATAATATAGACAAATCTAGGATTATAGAAAGCTAGGGATTTAATAGATTAGTCTTAGGAGGCTTTAAGAAGAGAGCAATTTGAAAGAAAAAGCCTAGGTTATACGCTTAGACAACTTTCTTAGAGTATATCTTAGCAACTAGTATTGCCTTAGATTCTCTAGTTATATTCAAAGGAAAATCACTTTAAGCCTAATGGTTTCCATTCAAACTAGCTTTTTATGCTATATAGAAGTTTTCCTTTTCTAAAAATGGCTAGATTTCCAATGACGCTGCTGTTAAATAGCTCTAAAAGGTCTTTATTCCAAAAACCTAGCTAACAGACCCTTCTAAGTACTAGTTACTAGTCTTGGATAGCTATAGCAGTTACAAAACAACTAAGTTTATATAGCTTTGCTTTTAGCATAAGATTTACCTGCTTTTTTTACCTTTACATACCTTTTACATTATGCAACTACTAGATCTTTTGGTATTTAGACCTTTCAAAATAGCTTACTAGAAAAAGCTTGGCTTTCTTGCTTAGTAGGTAGATTCTATAATAGTAGAAAAGCGGAATTTTCTAGCCTGCTACCAAAAGGCTTGCAAGACTGCTTTGACTAGTTAGAATATTAAGAGTGGATGGAAAGCTATAGGGTTATGGCTAGTCTCTATGACCAAACCTCTACTTAGCTTACTTTTGCTGGAAAACTCTAACAAAAAGGCCTAAGATTTGGAAAATTTGACTTCTTAGCATGCAATTAGTGGTAAACCTATCTTTTAATAGAACTTGGATATAGCTGCAGTAGTATAGTCAACTCCTAGAAAGGCTACAGAGCTTTGAGATTAACTATATCAATTTAGCTACCTAAAGCAATCTACTTTCACATAACGACTACTATTCTAGAAGATCTACAAGGCATTTGACAAAAAGGACATCTAGTTGGCTACTTTTTTACGGAAGGTTGAATCACTAGAGGCCTAGCTTGAAGCTGCATAGCCTAGGAAGAAGAAGAAGGTCAAATTAAGCCCAAATTTGAAGTTTGCCAACATTAAGGCAATCTGGAAGGCTTAATTGGAGGCTGGTTATATTGAGGATGGTCTAGATGAATTCAGCAAGCCTGAATTACCTAGTGAGTCAGGCAGTTGTATTGTAGTAAAATCAAGGAAGGTAGAAAGTCAGGTTGAATAAAGTAGTAGTGGTGGTGTAAGTCGGATTTTTGGGTGGCCGGAAGGGGGGTGATTTAACTTAGCAAGGAGGAGTTCTGGCTTGTGAGACGAGATGCAGGTACTAGTTAGCTGCTGGGACAACTTCTCAATTCCGGATGGGCTTGGAGCCTCTCAAGCGTCAATGCCAACATCGTCAGTGTCCCGAGATCACATTATGGTGGCCCGGTGGGTGGGAACCATTACGAATGCGCTGTTGCTTAGCATCTACACGTATGCCGCAACTGCGGGAAACATTTGTCGCGATCTGTCGACTCAGTGCTAACACACTAGTCATTGACTCTTGGCAATATGCTGGCGAAGTGAATCATCGAGGGACTAGAGGCGAAATCGGCAAACCCCTAGGATGGGTTGAGGGCCTAGGTTGCCCCTGGATGAATGTTAGACAACTGTGAGACGATAGTGAACTTACGCCGGTTAGGTGCGAGTGACTGTGGTAAGATTCGGCGTTACCTTGATAGTCTTGCTCTTAGTGATTAATTATGTGTGCCGATTGAGGACGTGATTCCCAGTTTTCCCCGGCTCCTGTTGTGCATCGCCCTGGGTCTCATCGCCTAGGATCTAGACATTGCTATTCCATGCTGCTCCGTTATGAATGATTGGTCTTGACAGTGACAGACATGGTATGAAACTTGGGCCTGGAACTTTCTAGACGGGTCTTTACTGAATAGAGTTTAAAGTTTCGACAACGTGAACTGGCTTTTGCACCGATGACCGAGCAATACCGAATGACCAAGTTTAAAGTTTTTCCTAGACTGCCATGGCCAAGATAGACTTTCCGTGACTGTTATGACTCACTGGTGACTGGTGTAGCTTCTTGTTCCGAATTCACCATCGTCGACCATTCATTCACCCTCGACTATTGTTCACCCTCGACTATTATTCGCCTCTGCCTATTGTTCGCCCTTGCCTATTGTCCTCCCTCCGTCTACAACTATAAATACTACCCCTCCCCAACAATCTTTCGACCTCGTCTCCTCTACCTCTACCTGCCAATCTTTCCACCTCTTCTCATCTACCTCTGCCCCAACGTCTTCGACCATACCTCCCATCCTTTTCTCTTCAGCTCTGCCCAACAAGGTCGATTTCATACCTATTATCCTTTCGTCTCCAGCCATTTATCCAGCATACGACATGTCCAGACACGACTTCGTCCAGGGCGGCCACCGCCGCAATGCCACAACACCAATGACGTTTGTCTGTGACACCCCGCCGGTGGTGTTCGATAACACTCACATCGTCGCGGTCACCCACCCCACGGTGACTACTGGCCATCCCGAGATTGACGGATGGTTCCTTTCGGATTTCTACGCCTTTAATTACCTATATCGCGGGCTTGGGGCGTCGCAAGTTTGGTTGACGGCAGCGGTAGAGTGTCCTCGAAATTTCCCAACCGTGACAATATACTAACAGTTTGGTAGGACCCGTACAAGCTGATCGAAGCACACGACGGTCATGACATCTACCTTCATGGGAATCCCTACCAGGATCGCAAAGTGGTCCTAAGCCGCGAGCTGCTCAACAACAACATGCTTACGCCCGTCACTGTCGTCAAACCGACTGACATGATCGAACGCTTCCTCTGGGAGGTGCGCAAAGCTTCGGAGAGGGCAAAAAAAGATAACGCCCATCTCTTGCTCCTTGTGTTTTGTCATGGCATGTCGAATTTCCACTTTCTCCTGGACAGCGGCAACCGGAACAAGGGCCTTAGCATTGTGCGACTCAAGGGGGTCCTTGACATGGGAGTCCGCGTCACCCTGGTCACCACAGCGTGCTACTCGGGCGGCTGGGCTGTCAGCGAGGACTTGAACCATACAGCTTTGACAGCAGCTGGGGTAAAGACTACGTCTAATGCCTGGCCCTCCTCGGCTAGTGTCGACCGGGCATGCGGGTCAGTGTTTGCCACTACATTAATCGAAGCCCTAACTTCCAGCGCGAGTCAGCTCCTCCCAGAGGACGAGCGCGACGATGTTTCTTCTGCCTCTGAGCTCCAACCTGAGAAGCCGACAGCAGAGCAGACCAAGACCTACAACGAGTTTTGCCGCTCAATCTTGGAGACTTGCGAAGATCGCGTCCACCGCCTCTGGTACCGTCAAGAATTCTCCTTTAGTGCGCAGAATGACCAGTGGGAGGATTCCTGGACAGGCCGGACCGGGTTTCCCCTGGCCAACTTCGAGAAGCGCTGGAGAGAGCTTGTCACCTACCCATACCAGGGGCCTGCAGAGTTGAAAGAGCTCAGAGACCCCAGCCCAAATAACCCAGTCTATAAGGACAACATGGACCTGTCACATACCGGTAGAGTCGGTCAGTTTCAGGATCCAACCACCCGCATGGTCGAGAGTATACGCAAACATCGAATCACGGAGATGGCTCGCCTTTTCCTTGAGACTTGTCCTGGCGACTGGAGCAGCGGACAGCATGTTGGTCTACGCTCGGCTCTGCGACACTACGCGGCGGGGGAGGAGATCGACCTTGGAGAATGGGATTTGGATATTGTGGCCACGATTCAATTCCGCTGCAAATTGGGACAGCTCGCCGACTACCTTGTCGATACCTTGGGTCTGCCGCAACCCAACAACCAGCCGTGCCTCTACTGGAATGAGGAGGCCTGGATCAACTCTGTCCAGATCAAGATTCCGGATTGGAAGAATCGAAGGACCATCATCTATAAGGATCTTTTCGACGGCGGCTTCTTCGTGCAGGGCACTTCAAAGCAGGGCCCTCCCTTCCGCCGCTTCATCAACTACGTCGCCTGTTCCCTCGTCGAAGCGAACAGGACGCGGGAAGAGACCGCCAGCCTGGTCACTTCCTTGCTCGATTTTATCCGCCAGGCTAACGAGTTCAACAATCGGCGCGCGTGCCAACAGGCCGAGGTCCGTGGCCGGTCGCGCGTCTGGCTGAGATCGATTGGGCGCCGCCTCCGGGACTCGCTGTCGCCCAAGAAGAAGACGACGACCGCCGCGAGGCCGAGATCGGGAAGCTTTGGTGGTGGTCCCTCGCGGATAGAGACGGGTCCCTCCGGGCTTCATAGTCGGAATGCCTTGAGCCAGTCTTCGTTGCGACTTGGTCCGGCTCCGGAGCTGCCTCCCTTGCAGAGTCAGACAGGGAACGCGGAGACGCTGGGTGGGCAGATTGGGCAGGCATTGGGGTTTGATATTGATTGAGGATCTGTTCCATTAGTTGGACGCTGAGAGACCTCGGACGGTCTTGATGAGGAGTTAGGGGGTGGCATTGTATTTTCGGAGATGACGTGCTGAGACTAAGGGCCGCACACCATCCTCCACCGCAGTGGGCTAGTCAATGATTAACCACATGATTTCGTTTCTGCAATAAGCAGCATAACGTCTCCCCTTGAGTCAGCTCTGACGTAAATATGCCCCCAATTCCGCTGATAATATGCTTGATATGCTAGGGTCTATTCCCTTCCCTTTTGCTTGGTGCTTTGGAAGAATAACGCGGGAAAAAGCTTAACTTAACGCCAGCAATGGCACCATCCACCACCCTCCCTAGAAATGCATATGGGTGGTTGGTCTTAACTAATCGTCAACCAAGGCTTGGATTAGAAGAAGCTAGCAGTGTTGTGTGACTAGGGGAACTTCTCTGGGTCCAAAGTCTCCTTTCTAATCCTAGGTCGGCAACCTCTTGGCTCGCCGCTTGCCACCTATCTTGGTCATCGCCACCCCCAAACCCCTTTCCTTTCCGCATCTCCAGCGACCTTTTTTCGGCATCTCCCACTCCCCTCTGTCCTCCTCGACCCTCCCCTCAGCAACTATCCCCGCAATCCATGCGGCACCCCCAACAACTTAACGATAGCTCCCTAGTCTACCTGCTTCTTCTCCACTTCTCCTCCCTACCCACATTCCCACCCCTCCACATCTTCTACCCTTACCTCACTGGCAAGCCCAGATTGACAACAAAGATCCTCCCTTAATTAGTTCTCCTATCGTCTTCGCAGCCTGGCCCTAGGGCGGCTCCTGGTTGGTCTCCTGAGGCGGGGCGACAGGGTCTTGACCTGATACACTGGACGGTCCCCTCCTCCGCAGAACTCTTCTCTCGGCTCTTTTCGTACTTCAGGATTGCTCCCTAGGCATTCTTATGTCCTCCAGGAGTTCCTAGGTGTCGTATTCTACCAAGGTTATTGGAATCGCCGTTCGAAAGGCGCTATCCCTGGCATCGGCAGTATCGACAGTATCGATAGTATCGACAGTATCGACAGTATCGGCAGCATCGGCAGAACCGTCAGTATCATCGACATCAAGATGGACCTTCGTATTTCCCATCCCCAGCTGTAGCACCCTGCCCCCTAAGATAATCAGTGCATGGACCTTCTGCTCTTCCTCGGGTGACATCGAGGGATGCAAAACCAAGTGTGCGCGGCCAGAAACGAGAAGCTCCCGCATCCGTACAAGCATGCCGAAATACGCAAGACCAGCGACTACATACTCAAGTAAGCGCGTAGGCAAGGACGCAAAGCATGTGCCATGCCAATGGCGGCTGCCAGACCGAATATGCAGTTCAGACATTCTAGTTATGTATTAAGGCGCTGAGCCAAACAACGACAAACCTAGCCCATCTCCTTGTGAAGACTCCAAGATACAAGCAACTGGGAGGACGTAATGGCAAAGCCTAGTAGACCAGTCGCAGATATCTCGATAAACAACCAATATCATTTGCTTCCTCCAAAGTTTATCAATGCAGACAATGCCTTCGCAGAGAACCACGAATTCGCTATCAGTAAGTTCAGACAACAAATATTCTCACCTGCGTCGATGGCATGGAGCTAGGCCTTGACAACTAGCAAGAGAATCGCGCTCAGCGCTTCCTCTATGTAACAGACCATAGGTATATGGGATTGTTTGTCTCTAAGGTACCGGATCTAGAGGTAAGCGGCGGAAAATCAAAGAACGACCCCCCTTAGAAGTAAGGCTGGGCTCGACGCGGCTCTGACTTGGGCGGGGGTACGACTCAACATGGGTTTTATCTGTGAGGGAGCTGATGGCGACAGAAGGGTATCTTAATTCAGTGCCCAACCAGAGACTTCGTTTTTTATGGCTGGGCATTAGGATTTACAGTGTGACTCACCAGGTTCATGGTGTGACTCATCAGCGAGTTGCATTAAGTTTGAGGTTGAGTTTAAGCTTGCGCATACCATGACATCGGCATTGAGAGTTTATTTACGGTTACTTTGAACTGGCAGCAGGTATCGCCAGATTAAGTATTTACTGAGTGGTTCTTGGACCCCGTCCAACGCAAATTAAATAAATCAAATAAATGACTCGGTGCAATATTTAGTTTGTTGTTGCAACCTGCAAAACCAGAAGTAATTAAGAGGGAAGTGAATTGAATGAGTTAGGCGACAGAAGGCTGGTCTGTGCATGGGTTGTCGTTTGTTTATTTTCTCGGCAGGAGCTTGCAATCGCGCTTCGCGTTCCTCTCGACATAAACCCCCAGCTACAAAATGGCTAATCCAAAGCCTCCACAACGCGACACTCTTCGCACACTCTTATTCCGCTATACCCAAGAAGATACGCGTGATAATGTCATTGCATTGAAGGATCTCGACAGTCACCAATTTGGCACCCTGCAAGACAGCCCCAGATGGCCTCCCCTCCCAAGTCCAAGCCCGTTGTCCCGCTCAGATCTGCTCAACCGAGCAAATCCAACCCATCAATCCGCAACTCAACCGCCTGCCACCTCAGGGCTATTTAGTCGCCCCCATCCCTGGACTGCCCTTGAATGGGCCGGTTTTTTCGACTCGGCAGTATATTGCTTTACCCAAGCAGCAGAAGAGAGCAGACAAGGCAGATGGGCCGCTCGTGCGCCGTTCGGCATTGACAGCCCGTTCGACGAGTACATCCAGACAGGCGAGCGTCTCGAGGAGGGATATGAGCGCGGCGAAACCTCGCGGCTCCGATGGAAGGCCCTGTCGCAGCTCGAGCTAGATGCAGCGTCTGTTGGCTGCGTGATTGCAGACAGCACGGCAGACATGGTCGCCAAGGGGTGTATACTGCGGAGTGAGCTTGTCTGTGCCTTGGCCCTTGCGTGTCGACAGATTTGGGAGCGGAAGGCCGATGATCTTGGTCCTGGCAGGACATTAACAGTATGGAAGTCCTGTGCTCAACTTGCAACCGCCTCTCGCAAACTAATTACATCACCAGATCACCACTGCCACTTTCACAAAGGACAGCGCCCGTATCGTTTATATGCTCATCCCCCTCACCGGTGAGCAGCAACCTCCGATCTCGATCGTCGTCCAACGGGACGAACCCCTCGGGAAGATGGTTAGCACCACAGAAGAAGCGGTGGAAAAGTGGCAAGACATCCTCAGGCACATGTTCTTCGGCAAATCAGCATTACTCAGCCCCCCGAAACTCCGAATACCCAGCAGCAGAAAGGAACAGCGGGAACAGATACTGTCGAGTGGAACAGGCCGGAACGTCGTAGTCTCTAGGACCACATCCGAGCGATTGTTTTCTGGATCTACAGATCCGCCCAAGAACGACGGCAGAGGTTCTGAGTCATCAAGCAGCTCGTCGAGCGTCTTTGATGGGCGCTAAGTTCATTTGTATTTATATTCATTGTAATTGGAACAGAGTAGGTAGATGTACGGATTACTCGAGCTGGACTCGCAAAAACGCAGCTGCACCTGCATTGACCACTTGAAACCTCCTTTGTCAAGCCAGCCTTAAGATACTCATTCAACTTCCCCCTCCCTTTCAGTCGCAGGATTGGGGTTTATCACACGTCCGTCTACCAGGTCCCCATGCAGCTGAAAGCGGAGATAGCCTTTCCTGCTATGATACGACAGCGTGGATTAGAGCTTCGACGAGGGGCATGAGTTACCTGGTACCATACAAAGAAAACAAGAAGACCATGATGTTGGGAGGATATCGCCAAGAATGTAGACCGTGATGGCGATGGCGGTGGCGATGTTCACAGAAATGGCGGCAGCGAGAGTAGTTGTAGGAGAGATTCCAGCAGTAATTATGGCTATGGCAGCCACGGTACTTCATCTTCATCTCTGTTGGAACTTGGCTTCAGAGTGAAGGAAATGTTAGGTTATCGAAGAATGAATGCAACGGCGAGGGCAAACCATTCTGGACCGCCGATGCCCCAATGTCGCGTGGCAAGACCTTTCTTGCAGCTTGTAGCAACACTGCCTTACCAGTGTCTACGAGGACCGGCACTCCCCATACTACGATGTCAGACCGATGAAATTCTGGTTTGTTTCTAGACCCGAGATCAGCCGTAAGATACTGCTTCCTAGGGAGAGTTGTCCTGGGAAAGTGATTACACCTTGTCCCTGATACCTTACTCGCCACTGTTTAGTTCTAAACCTAAAGCTAAGAGCCATACCTGCCTCTCCTTGGATGTCAGCAACGCTTTGGGAGTAGCCTGGGGCAGGAAACATCAACAATTTAATATACTTGATCAAATGCATGGTTCTCAGGGGCTTTTGCTGGCTAACTTCAGTTCATGCAAAGGGGAAGTGGCTGAATTGATGTCTGGACTGGCAAGGATAATTTGCTTAAAAAAAAAATAACTTTTTCGGGAATTTTATGTAATTAATTTTTTGTTAATTTAACAATTAAAGTCAGCCACCACCGGCGAGGGACCCGCCTATAATTACTTGCGGTGTTGAATCTAGGTAGGAGTGGCCGGTCGTAAGCGCCAGCCCTGACGTTACGCCGTTGCGTATATCTAGAAGACAATCCAGTTAGAAGGTAGCCAAGACGATGGATCGCTAGACATATTAACAGCGGATAAAGGCTAGGATAAGGTAGGTACCGTCGACTATAGGCAGCAGGGCTAGCCTGTCACGCACGGCGAGCCACTCGGCAGTTAGAGTCTTGGTCAGGCGGGTCTTCCGCCAGGCGGCGACGGCTAGGCCGAAGCTCTAGTCGGCGGGCGCAAAGGTTAGGTTGATGGTCATCTTAGAGGGCGCGTTCTTACTGACAGGTACATGGGCGAGCCGAGGTTGTACGCCCAGGTCTACTCGTTGAACCACGCGAACAAGGGCATAAAGTCAGCTGCTGCCGTGAGAATTCCAGCCCATTGCCCAAGCACCGTGTCATTAGGGAAGAGCTGATTGTCAATTTTGGCCAGGTACGTTGGGGGAGGTAGGTAGCTGGGACGGCGCATTGAGCACAAGGTAACCTAGGAAGAGCAGAATCAGCCTCCATAAAGAACCCTGCCTTCACTTTAGGTACAAAAGATCCCCTCCTCCTCCTCACAGTGCCCAGCATAATGTAGCGCTCTCCTTTGTATACAAGGATACTTTGGCTAGTCACTTTCAAAACCAGCAAGTTCGACGCAAATCCCGTCTTCCTCATCCAAGTCATCTCCTCCAGATCCACCCCTGTGAACCGCCCCATACCTCCATTTCGTGTTGTCTCGCAAGATCAGCCCATCCAGCTTCGCTGCCTTGGAAAAGTTGAAGAATCCACCTCGGATTTTCTGGTACTCGATTCCGCTAATGTACTCACCGCTATGCTGTTGATTGACTACCCGAGCGGCCAAGACTTCGCCGCGGATAGCAATGCCTGATATGGTTGATAAATCGACAGATGGGTTCGTTCCAGGGATGAGGCTGGTCGGTGACTGTATCGCACCCTGTCCTTGTCTAGTGCTGACTCTTGCAGTCGTTTGGTCCGCATTTGTAACGGTTTGCAGGCCGACGACCATGAAGAGGTGATTGACCTTGCTTTGTTCGAGACATCGCTCTACCCATCGCCGCGTCGCGTCTTGGCCCATGGCTTCGTTGAACAGCTCTGCACTGTTTAACAGCGTGTAGCTAGTGGACTTTTCCGTCGTGAATCGTGTTGCACCAAATGTCTCAGATGAGGCTGATGACTTGAATAGCGGCGTGAGATTTGCCGCGAGGCCACGCTTGTCGGATGCGTGCTCAATCACAGAGGCAGCTTGCAACTGGTTCACACTAGTGACGGGAGTAGTAGTGTATGTCGGGTCATAACCCCTCACAGGACGATCCAGATCTTTAGGAGCGACGAGTCGACCAAGGAGAACCGCATTGACCGCCAAGGGAAACTCTCCCAGCTGTACAAGGTGCATGATCGATCCGTGGTATCAGCGATGAATGATAGGCTCCCCGCCAAAAATGAATGCCTAAGGACTGGTGAAAGACAATGCAAGTTGACTGCCGAAGGAGGAGAAGAGGAGAGGGCTGGGAGCCTTGGTGGTGGGTTAGTTTCAGGTTTGTTATGTTATACTGATTGATTTACTTACTCTGCCCAGCAAGGAATAAACCCCAACAGATGTGGGAATCGGTTTGACCCCCAAAATTTTTGGGTGCTTTGTAAGCCAGCAAAATCAGCCAGCCACCTTTCAAGCCCATGTAGACGCAGGCGAGAAAGAAATTCACCTGCCAGGCAATAAGGAACAACGAATGGGATACTGTGTAGGCGCCTGGAAGCGCATCCCGTGCAGATTTGCCGAGGAGCTCCTAACCCTAAACCCCTGCTACTGCTTAGTACATAGCCACACCAGCCGCGTTGCTAGCGAATAAGAAGCCAGAAACGGAAAACTCGCTTGTATGACTGCGACACATCTAACTTGGACCAATCAATGATGGATGCTTAGAGGTCTCGGACCTGAAGTTAGGCCGATTGGCCAGATAGCGAGCGCTATTTAGCTGATCAGGCAGTCATCTAAGAAGGCCCTATTTCTCGGGATCTGAACAAGGGTCTACAACAGTTCCCACACTGCAGAGTATACCGCTGTACATCACTATACATATTATTCACCAGAGTGACTGACTCTGTACGGATATACCACACCTGGTAAATTCACCACTTGGGAAGAAGTCCCTTTGCTTGATCGATTCTACGCCATGGAAAATGAAACCGGAGGCATCGGCCATCCTCACGACGTGCGCGACGAGAGGGTCCAAGACTACATTAACAGGCTTCTCTCAGGTACGGGAGTTTGTCTAGAGAGGTTTGCCAACACTAGAGACAGGGACTATTTAGGCGCGGCTATTTGCTGGACAAGCTACCTTGGAATCCTCGCCCATCGAGGCGGGATAGTTCCCCTTGATGTGTTACTCGATGCTGCCTCAGACATGTCAGCTATCTGGGAAGAACACAAAGACGACCACGACTACGACCATAACGCGGCCATCGACATGTACCGCCGTATCTTGGAGCTCGGCTGTGAGAATAGCCCTCTTTTTGCTGAATCGCTGGGATCCCTCGCCGGCCATCTCTTCGACAAGTACAACAAGTACCGCGAGAGAGCAGACATTGACGAGGCGGTGCTATTACAGAGACAGGCCGTGGACCTCAGCGCTGCCGATCCGGAACTGCTCCCCCGAGCTCTTTCCAATCTTGCGACCTTTCTGTGTGCTCGATGGGAGATGGACCCGGATTCCAATGGCCTCGACATAGAAGACGCTATAGCAGCATCCCAAAAAGCCATGTCTGCAGTGCCGCCTGATGACCCAGACCGGATTCTAATCATATGCAAATTAGCACACCTGCTGGAGGAACGTTACGACCACAAGCATGAAAGCAGCGATCTGCATCGCGGAATTGCGCTGGCAAGAGAAGCCTTGGAACTGGATCCGCCTGATCCAGGGGTAAAAGCGATGGTTCTAAACTCGCTGAGCGATAAGCTCCAGACTCGTTACGAGAGGTCACACCTTCGCCGTGACTTGGACGAGGCTATTGAGCATGGCGAAGAGGCACTCCGACTCAACCCAAAGGGCCATCCTAGTCGTGTGGTGGATCTGGACAGCTTGGGAAACAAGTATTCGTTGCGCTTCGAGGCCTTTAGAAAACCCGAGGATTTGCAAGCATCGCTCTCTCTTATCCGCGAGGGACTGGAAATCACTGAGGAGAACTGCGAAGGACTAAACAACCTGGCCACGGCTTTGTGGACGTCATACCTGTCCACGCACGACGTGGGAGACCTTCAGGAATTTATAGAGACTTTGCGTAAGGCACTCGCAGCGGCAAACACGGCAAATACACACTCGACTTGTCTTAAGAATCTTGGATTTGGTCTTCGGCTTCGATTTGAGAAACTCGGCGACATCAAAGACCTGGAAGAATCGGCTCAGCTTCTTCTCGAATCGTGGAGTTATCCGGGAAGCACTGTATTTACCAGGGTCGAGGCTGCTGCGGTCTTGTTGAAGATCCTGCCGTCTCTCAAGCGACTTGGTGAGGCCGCCGACGTTGCTGAACATGTCGTCGGCCTCTTGCCAACGGTAGACAGCAACTCGTTGTCGGCTGACGACCTCCAGCACTTCATGTCCACTTTCATGGACATTGCAAGCGGGACTTGCGCCGTTCTTCTTGAATGTGGCCTTTTGGAATCCGCCATCTGCAGCCTTGAGAAGAGTAGAGCTGTTGCGCTAGGCCACGAAATGGACCAGCGAAACAGCCTACGTAGGCTGAGGGAAGACCACGAGAGCTTGGGGTTGCAGTTAGAGAGGCTGCTGATGCAAGTCAACAGCGCCTCTCCTGGTCAGGTGCCGGATTTTCACCACTCGCAGGCGTTCCAACAGCGTCGCTCGGCCTATCATGAACTGCGAGAATGCATCGACGAGATCCGCGCGCTTCCCGGCTATGGCGACTTCTTTGCCAGCCATACCATTGCAGATATGCGAGACAACGCGGAGGGTGGCAGCATAGTGTTTGTGAATGTTGCCGAGCTGCGCAGCGATGCGATCATTGTCACCACATCAGCAGTGAAAGTTGTCCGCCTTCCCCAGTTGCTGTCGGACGACGCCACACAGTGGAGGGACAAGACGATGACGGAAGCGAGAGGCATACCGGCAGTTCGGAGACGAAACGAATTAATGCTCGGATACCTCTCCTGGCTGTGGTCCGCCTGTGTTCGTGACATCCTGGCCGACGATCTTGTCAGAGCACAGGCTACGGGAGGTTATCCTCCACGCGTCTGGTGGATTGGCTGTGGCCTAGCAGCATCTATGCCATTTCACGCGGCCGGGATTCACGGAGACTCGTCGGAGAACGCTTATCAGCTCTCGATCTCGTCCTATATACCATCAGTCAAAGCACTTGCCTACGCTCGGAAACAACCGAGTGACGCTTGCAGCCACCACGACAGTATCTTGGTCGCTACCATGGAAACTACGCCGTATGAGAAGCCCCTTCGAGAACCGATCAACGAGAAAAACGCGCTTCTTCGCGCGACACGGGGCGTCATCCCGTTCCGCCATATTGCCCAGCCCTCCTCTCTCGAGGTGATGGAAGGTCTCCAAGACTGCACCATTGCTCACTTTGCGTGCCATGCAGGAAGTCATCCTGTCGACCCCCGAAGCAGCTGCTTGATCTTCCAGGGCCTCGACGAGTCAGGCACGCCGCAGCAGGATCGTCTCACCGTCAGTGCTATTCGGAGTTTGCAGCTGAGAAAAGCCCGGATCGCCTTCCTATCGGCTTGTCAGACCAGTGAGAACAAGGCCAGGGAGCTAGCAGATGAAGTTACTCACCTAGCTACAGCTTTCCAGGTCGCGGGATTCCCCCATGTCATAGGGTGTTTGTGGTCAGTACGGGACGATGCATCAAAAGAAGTCGCCGAAGGTTTCTACGGCACCATACTGCAGGAGACTAATAGTCTTCGCCTTGGCGGACCGAGGATTGCTCTCGCGTTGAGAGACAGCGTCATGGCGCTGCGTGAGCTTGAACCCGAGTCGCCATTACATTGGGCTCCGTTTATTCACCTAGGCCCGTGAAAGCCTCGCCATCCTGTTAGGGTTTGCAACGCTAAAAGAACCTGACAAGAGGGCTAACTAAGCCCTAGACACCTATTGGAAGAATTGGCCTAGTCTGAGGGCACTGCGATTGAAAAGGAGTGGTCTGGGTTATTGGGATATGATAGTCAGTGGGGGATTTTACGTCTTTCTGGATTTACGGTAGGAAATCTTGACTTCAACAGTCAAGAAGCGACGAGCTAGCACGAATCTTTCCCTGGATACAGCCCAATCAGCCTTCGTCTAATATTCCTATTCTGCGCTTCCGGTCACTGATTTTCTATCTTGCTGGTTGGCGGACATCTTGCCTACCTTGCTTTTTTATCTAGTTCTCTAACTCTCCTAATCCGCAGACTTTGCGGATTACCTGCTGCCTTGGTGATACTATAGATACCGCTTTTTACAAGCCAGAAATGCGAACCACATCATTAGCTGCATGCATAGGTCCTTCCGGCTTGTGTGTGTAGTTGTAGAGTTGTCTTCAAGCTCCACCATACAGACTGTTTTGACTAGACAATATGACCTATTTTATACAGAGTGGGAAAAGGAATACGCTATCATAAACCTCTACGGAGTTGCGCGGATGTAGAATGTTTTGCTGACAACTTCCGACAGTCCCCTAACTAGATAGCTTCATTGCTCTAGAAGCGTTTCCCTATAGTGATGAGTTTCTACTGACTTTCTTGTTAGTTCATGAAAACCCATTAGTTTAACATATATACCCTGCTACCTGATGGATTGAGTGGGTCTAAATTATATTGAAAGATGGGTGTCTTGTCAAGTCCCTAGTAATGCTAGGGGATATGTAGACTCTCTAAAATACAGCCGAAATGACCTTCTTTTTGATACCCAATTGTAAAGAGCTCCACTAGGTGGACGGCCAAAATCACTAGGTGGACGGCCGGCGTGGCCCGTGCCCGGGACCGTGTAATTTAATTGGCCGAACTCAAATCTGCGCCTCAACCGTAGCCCCACTAAGAATTCTGCCGGCAGAATCGATCTTCAATCCACCGCCTACCTACTTGCCTACCAATTACTTTCCTACCCACCAACCTACCTTCCTGCCAAAGGCAGTATAACCTCATTATACTTCTTCAACGTCTCTGAGCCTTCAAAGTCGGTCAATATGGCTGAACCACCTACTGGACTACCTAGCGAGGCGCTTTTGAACCCGCCGCCTAGCCACCGATTGTGGCAGCCGTACGAGACCCTCAACGCCCTTGAGGCCGATCTGAAAGAC